CTCCTCATAAAGATCTCTCTCCTTGTTTTGTATTTAATAGTTGAAATATTTCCTTCCCCAGTGTTATTCGTTAAAGAATTGAACGTGTCATATTAACATACTACAAATTAATAAAAAAGGCAAATTAAAAAATAAGCTTTAAGCCTTTAAAAAATTTTATGGACCACGTCAGTGGTTTATTTATGTAATTTACTATTTAATAATATCAATCCATATAAGTATTTAGCATTAATAGTTGATCGTATTAATTATTTTAATTAATTATACTTTTAATTTAAGGAATAAGTTTAAACAGGGGGCGTCGGTGGCCGCAATGGTTTAGGCGTTAACACGGCGCCCATCACTGTAAGGTAAAGGTCCCGGGTTCGAATCCAGCGGCCCTGCATTCAAACCCGACATACAAACAACGGCACCCCGAGGGTTGATATAACCTCTGCTGTTGGAAACCCTCGTTAAAAAAATAAATAAATAAATAAAAAAGTTTAAACGAAGTCACGATATTTAAGTGGTTGGAGTAGCGGCTTATTCAGCCGAAGGCCGTGGGTTCGAATCTCGTTCATGACACTTGCTTTTTCAGCTCAACCAAGACCTTGGATTAAAAGTATAATTAATTAAGATATAATAACTATTCTCACAAATACCAAAAAGTATTCTTAAAAAGTATTTACCTTTCAAAAATAAGGCAAATATTAAAAGATTAAAACTTCAATATTTGTTAGTTGAAAAACTCTCAGTCGAACAAAAGTTTTTAAAGATAATTCTATCCGAAAGCTATTTGTGTATTAAAAGCAATACGATGTAAACGGAAATTATCGTTTACACATAACACAATAATTATAGTTGTTATATTATAGCTTATCTACTTAACAAATCAGATCAACTTAGTCAAGCTTTATCGACTTTCGTTGACTGAAAATTAAATCAGTTTCAGGCGTATAAAATATTTGTAAAAAGAAGCAATTATGCATTATTTGATAAACCAAGTGACCAGTGAATCAACCAAGGCACGCAGGTTATATTACAAAGAAGAGTGTTATTTAATTAATAATCCAATGTACATTTATTAATTACAAATAATATACAAATACCAATACCTTAAAAATTTGAAAAATATTGTTTAGAAATTCCACTTTCAATAGTCCTAATGACTATGCCTACTATTAACTGCAAGGACTCGTTTTAAGCAGAGTTTTCAGAGGTATTAACAGATGGACTTCTAAATCCGGCTTTCGAAAACGTTTACAATGACATCTTTTTATTCCTTTACAATCACAAGCTTAGAATAGGACTCAAATGGGATGTAAACGTTGGGTTTGGAAATTGAAACGTTTTTTGGAACAATCGTAACAATGGGTAAGTTCTGAGGAGTCGACGATGGGATCTTCAGACCGATCCTGCCAGAAACTTAATACGGTCATAAGACCTTTTGTCAACTGAAAGAAAACCTTCTCGTCTTGCGTTTGTCGGCCTGGATACATAATAGATTCTCCCCTGGAGAGGGAATTGGGCGGCCAAAATCATCCCTTGTATCTGATGAGGCGGATTAAGAGTATCTCCCTCTATTTCTTCCACCCAAGTTGATGTTATCTCAACCAAGACTGAAAGGGACAGAAATACAAAACCTTTCTACAATTGGAAGGTACTTTACCTAGGGGGTCTTTTCTTATTGCACGACAATATCACTTTGGCCGTACTGTCATTTAATGATCATCCAATTTTCCCTTCGGCACTATTATTCCTTTTGCTTTCATCCTCTGCTCAGTAAAAACACGGAAACGGCTCTATCCGCACAAATCGCCATTTGTGTTTTTACAAATAACCAATTAAAATAAAATTATTAAATACGCAAAACAAATCACACAATTAGATTGCCTGTGACAGCGAAAACTGGAGGACCAGGTGTCTTAACAAACGATTTATTCATTCACTTATATGTGAAGTTTTTCTTATTAAGTGAAAAACATTTTTAAAAGTCACATGAAAGCCATACAAAAGAAACTTGAACTTGCATGAACGTTTTAATTGTGTGTAGTATTTAATGACCTTGGAAAAAAGGGTATGAAGAGTTTTGTAGTTTTTGAAGACCTGAAGTTGCCTTCAAAAACTATAAAACTATTCACACACCATTTTTTCTAAAATTAAAGATCCCACCCTGTAACAAACAAGTCTGATGTAATTTTCAAAATTAATTGTATAAATTGTCCGGCAACTTACATCGGAATTACATCCCAATAAGAGGGTACCTACGATTGCAAAAAAACCTAAACAAAATCCTACAGCACTGGCTACCCGCCATTTTGAACACCAGCACAATTTTGACTTCAACAATCGAAAAATATTAAACACAGAACAAAGCAAACATAAACGTAACTTTTTAGAAATGGTTTACATCAACAAGCATCCATTACAGAACAGACACATGTAAACTCAGCCGCAGCTACGCTAATATAAATCAAATTCGATATCAATAACACACAAAATACATAATACAACATACAAAATAATCTTTACACTCCACACATCAAACCATTTCTACATAGTCTAAATTCCCAACAATTTATCCTTCTTTTCCCTAATAATCCAGTCTATAATAATCATGAAAAGATAACTATGCCCGATCAACAAACCATTACCCTTTTTTTTCCATTGTCGGTCCCTTTCACCTCAAAGAAGCCGACTCCTCATAAAAAACTGAATTTCAATCCCTACTTTCTTCCCCCTCCTTCAAAATCAAACATAAATAAAAGAAACATTTATATCTTACTATTTACTAACACTAGCAACACGACACACAACTGTGCCACATCTACACAGAAAACACACGCTTCGTGTGAGTACAAATACTTCGAATAAACGTAAAATTTCTATATTGCGTACATCTTTGTATAAATTCATTTCACATCTTACATGTACAATCCAAACAATGTTTGTAATCCCAGGCCAATGTTTTTCTAAACCTACATCACACCAGACCTATCTCACGATTTCTAAATAACAATTTAACATAATTCACCGACCATCACCAATTAAACAAATAAGAAAAAATACACACAATCAGCTCGGGAACATATTTAAATTTACATTTGGGCAAACATTTTAACTCATCTTGAATCTTATTATAAAACTTCATAGGCGAATATTTATAATTTACAAGCTGTATTAAGATTTAATCTAGGCAATGCCAGGTTATCATTCATACCTTTATAAAGTCATCACATTACCCTTGTCAAAGTTGTGACAATTATCATACATAAAAAGTAAATAATTTTTGTAGTGTTGATTCGTTAGAACTGCTGAGGATGGGCCAATAACTCAAAATTTACTGAATAAAGAAAAGATTTTTATGCGACGGAGCACTTGGTTTACATTTTTCCACTAATCATCTATATTAAAAAACCGTGTAACGTACAATATTATTAATATAAAAAAATCATCCTACCCGAAACACCAAGGACAATTTATGTACTTTGATGCAATCTTAAGGAAAGTACTGCAATGAAAACACCTTGACAAATGTTGTGTTTAATTAATTAGCTGCTTATTTTTATTAGTAGTGATATGCTATATCGGGTTTGAATGCTGGAATACAGGGCGCTGGATTCAAACCGAGACCTTTACCTTACAGTGATGAGCGCCGTGTCAACCTTGCAGCCACCGATGCTCCCAATGCATCACAGACACACAAGAAAAGTAACACAACTCAATATAAGAAAATTTTACAGGAGAGACAGAAGGAAGTTCACTTTTTTTTATTTATGTATTACGTACACACCATTACGGCAGTAAAAACTGTAATGATCTACCAATATTGTCTTTCGTTTGTCCAAGGCTTAAGCGAAAACACAAAACTTTAAAAATCCAGCTGTACTACCACTAAAAAAACTACTGAAAAGAAAAACTTTTCTTGCATACATTGACTCTCAGTAATTTAAGTTAGTTTGTTTGCTTTAACGATAATGGTGGTCAATGAATGACAAGAGTATTAATTTTTTTGTGATAGTAACACAACATACAAACCTAACAAACAAGCATAACATGCAAAATGTGTATCAAGTTCAATTTTACCTACTTAACTGTGATACTGCCTAGTAATCAAAAAGTTTTAATGATTATGCATTTGAAAGAAACATAATTCAATTTGATTGTAAAATATGTGCTAGGAACAATAAAATATTTCGAAAAGCATTCCATTATTGTGAAATTTATAATAGTATACTGAAAAAAATAAATTAATGTTGCTTAAATATACAAGTATTTTTCTAATTTAACCCAACACTCTGATGGGTAGTGGTTTTTACTTTTTGGTAAGAAGCGTATGCAAGATTATTTTTGATACTGTTTTTTCTTTTGTAAAATATTGTTGTTTTTTGTCTAGCTCTTTTATTTGTGCGATTATTAGACTCTTCTTCTCTGATTGGACTTTAGAAATGTTATTGTTGTTTGGCACCTTATTAAAAATAAGTCAAATTATAAGATAAAATAAGTTCAGGGTGTCTAATTAGTTGCATTTGACTTATTTCCTCTACATTCTACTTACTATTTCTTTTATTAAGAAAGTGTTATTTTAGCAAAGTTTAGAATTTATGGATTGTTGACAATAAGATCGTATGTGTTGACAACAATGTGTATTTGAAGAATTATGGGTAACTCTAAAGAAATTCAAACAAAAATTGCATCATGGAATTTTTCAAAATAATTAATTTAAGTGTTAATGCACTCACCTGTACAGTTTGAACATTACAAAAAATAATATTCAGTTGGTGTTTACAATATTTCATGAGTTAATTACTCAATTGCTTTCTAACAGAAGTGACATAGCAAAATAGTTCAAGAAGAAAGGTTGTGTTATATCACTTCTTTTGTTTGATTAAGAGGTAGAAAAACGTGGAAGATAATTTCCTAACAATAGCATCTCTGGAGTAAAGGAGAGTTCCAACAAATCACATCATATTTACACAATTTGAACAAATAAAGAATAGTCAAGATATAATGTAATTTATTTCCTTTGTTCACCTCGGTCATTTGCAGTCCACAACTGTCTCAGTTGCAAGCCATCAACCTTAAAAATGGTGGCACAAGAGTCACCAGGTGTTACAGTCCCAGAAAATGCACTCGATGACTTAGAAGTCGATTCAGAAAACCAGGATGCAGAACACAGTGATGAAACAAAAAGGCTGAATAATGGAGACGGTGATTCAACTGAGGCAAATAAAATCATTAATGATACTGGTATGGATGTTTCATTTTTGATGTTAGCTACAATGAATTTTATTTAATTTTTTTACTTTAGTTTGCACTAGCATCATTGATTGTTGTATTTGTGTAATTTATATAATTTTTAATATTTTGGTTTGAGGGGTCGGTGTCCCAACGGTTTAGGTATTGACATGGTGCTCATCACTCAATGTAAGGTAAAGGTCCCAGGTTCAAATCCAGCGGGCCTGCATTTGAGCCCAACAACTTACAAATGGACTATTTTCATAGGCACCAAGAATAACCTTGTAGTTGAAATAGCCTCATTAAAAAAATTAATAATAATAATAATAACATACTCATGCTGAGACTGTTTCTAGTCTGACTCCATTATTATTATTATTATTATTATTATTATTAGCCATACAAGCCTACGGGGAATTTTTAAATTATGGAACAAAAATTCACAATTCTAATTAAAAAAAGAAACAGAAATAAATTTTATAATTTTATTAAATTTTATGCAATTTAAAATGGGAATTTTGTATACATTTGGCCTTCCGAATTAAGAATTTTAAAAAGAAAAATTAAAGCTTGGATGGAAATAGGATAAATAAGATTACGAGGGAATGTTTGGAGTCAGAGCTTTATAGCACTCAGAAGAGATATAGCTAACCTAAGATAGAAGGTTTGGATGTTAGGGCATGAAATGACCTTAGCCATTAAAACGCCCTTAAAAATTAATAATAATAATAATAACAATTGACTTTTTTAAATAAAATTAATCTTTTTTTTAATATCATACTATAACTGAAAGTTATAATAATGTAAGTAAGCACATGAACTAACTATAATTTTCCAACTGTCATAAATTATTAACTTTTTAATTAGTTTTCATATTCTTCTTTTGTTCTTCTTTTTAAAAAAATTATTGTTGAGCTAATCATTAAAACAAACAATCAGCACATACAAGTTAATAATTAAACATTGCTGTAGTTAATAAGGAAGACTTAGCATGTGGATTTCCCTGCTGGCAACCGGCATGGCTTCAACAGATAGCAAGCAAAAAAGCATATGTGATAGTATATGGACTGCTTGGTATGAGCCAGACAGCTATTGGCACATATTTTGTCGGGACAATAAGTACGATTGAGAAGAGATTTAAACTGCCTAGCAGTACTTCAGGTAATTTGATACATTTGAAGTACATCATTGCAAACTCTACAGTTTGAATTACAGGATTGATTACAAGTTCTTGGGATATTGGATCTCTATCCACCGCAATGGTGATGGCTTATTTTGGCAGTGCTGGGCATAAAACGAGGTGGGTCGCAACAGCAGCAATACTTGCAGCGATGTCATGCTACATAAGATACATACCACAATTGTTATATGGACCGGGTGAAACATTGGCAGCTTACAACAAAACAACTAGCAATATGAGTAAATATATTAGCACTTCGACAAAATTTTCACATTCAAACTAAACTTGTTATTAGCCGGCAACATGTGCAATGATGAAAAAGTATTTCCTGAAAACTGCTCGCTGAATTCAGAAGGCCTGGTGGCTACCATCGCTCTGACATTGGCACACATTATTTTTGGAATTGGAACATCTTCTTATTACACACTAGGAGCTGCCTACTTGGACGACAACACCTTAAAGAACAAATTTCCAGTACTTTTCGGTAAAAGCAATGCTTGTTAAACAAAAATTGTTTAAACTCTATTAAAAATCCATTAACTTTTAGCCATGGCAACATGCATAAGGTATTTTGGTCCTACTTTGGGATTTCTAACTTCTTCATACACTTTGGCATATTACGTAGATTCCGATGTTACACCACCATTTGGCCAAAATGATGCACGGTGGATCGGTGCTTGGTACAAAGGTAAGTTAAGCAATAATATGAAATTTTAAACAATATGTTTATTACAAATGGTATTAGTACTTTAAATACAGCATATAAATTTAGTGATCCAATAAACATCTCAAACAACAATGATATACACTACTCCAAAAAATATGTATATGACAACAGATTGAAATTCTCACTTCAAAATAAACACCTCTTCTGCACTATATACTATTGGGTTGTCCGGAAAATAATGCAGGATTTTGGTATTAAACAAAAAAAAAGAAACTAGTTACTTTAAAGCAATGTTCTTTAATCAAAATAATTTCCCATACTCTCAATACATTTCTCCCAACGTGTTGGTAACTTATTAATTCCGTCTGAGTAGAATTCAGAATTTTTAGAATTGATAAAGTCAATAAATGCATTTTCCAGTTCCGTTTGATTTTTGAATATTATGTGTTGTAAGTAGTGGTCCAGGTGTCTAAAAAAATGGTAGTCAGTAGGCGAGAGGTCCGGAGAGTAGGGTGGGTGAGGCAAAGTTTCATAGCCAAGCTCCAATAATTTTTGTGACGTTACACGTGACACATGTGGTCGAGCGTTGTCATGCAACAAAATGGGCCCTTTCCGATTGACCAAAGAGGGCTTCATTACTGCCAATTTCTGATGCATGGTATTAATTTGGTTACAGTATGATTCAGCATTGATGGTTTCGCCAGGATTTAAGAAGCTGTAGTGTATTAAACCAAATGAAGCCCACCATACCGTAACCATTACCTTTTTTTGATGAGTTGGGGGCTTTGGAGCTTCTCCTTTGTCGAGCCACTGTCCAGAACGTCTAGTGTTATCGTAGAGAATCCACTTTTCGTCACATGTAACAATTCTGGCCAGAAATGGGTCATTTTTGTTTCGACAAAGAAGTGATGCACAAACATCAAAGCGCTGATTTTTTTGGCGATCGTTTAATGAGTGTGGAACCCAATTTTCGAGTTTTTTCACTTTTCCAATCGCCTTGAGGTGGTCAGCAAGTTCTCGAACAGTTGTTTTGGGGTTTTCTTCCACCACTGATCGCAGAACATCATCATTAAGAGAGGAAGGCCTTCCACGACCTTCTTCATCTTCAAGGCTGAAATCTCCCTCCCGAAATTTTTTAAACCACCTTTGCACAGTGCACTCATTAACACAACCCTCGCCCCAGACTTGGTTAATGTTTCTAGCCGTTTGGGCTCCGCTTCGGCCGAGTTTAAACTCGTAAAAGAAAATCGTACGAAATTCTCGCTTTGACATTATAAGGATGACTGAATTATTTCCAAGTAGCGGAATGCTACAGAGGTAAACAAACAATATCATTTGGAAGAGGATTAATAAGTGTTGACATTCATACAAATGAGTAATCCTGTAAACGTAAACAGAATATTTTATATAGATTTTTTTTAATGAAAACTTAAAATCCTGCATTATTTTCCGGACAACCCAATACAACTGAACTGTGGGATTCACTTAAACGTTCGAATTAACAAAAATCCAGTTGCTCTAGTTCAAGGAAATTTGAGCCACTGCCTCTCTGCTGCACTTCACATAAAACACTGTCCTCCAAACAAACAAAAAATCATTACACAGGCTTCAATAAAACACTGCTCAATCATGCAAACCCCCTAGTCCAACACCTTTTATGTTGAACCCTTCCCAAAAATCTTCTAAGATGCCTGAAGCACCAATGTAGTGCTGTACAATTCCCTCCATAGTGAGGAAAGTGAATAGTACTAGGCTGGGAGCAAAAAATTCTGTCCCTATCAAACATTTTGGTAATAAACTATATTTCATCCTAAGGTCAGCAGGAACCTGTAGCCAGTCATTTCTGATTTTTCTAGTCTGCCTATCCTCAGTGGTTTAGTCTGTCAGAAACACTTTGGGAAGGAGAAAAGGGCTTTATTAAACCAAATCACACAAACCCACCAGTGAAGATACAAAAAATACCAAAACAGTGAGAATGTAGACCACAGATGATCCGAAAATGACTAAGATTTGGCTATTAGTTTACTTCTTTTTAGGTTTTAGCCAAAAGTATTATTAAAAACTGAAGATGACGGAAAGTTGAAATGCATCCAACAAGCCAAAATGAGATGTAGACCAAAATGATCTAAAACAATTTAGGCACACTAGTACCCTGACCAGTTCTTTCAAAACTTCCAGCTTATATTTCAAATATTCAGCTAATCTAAATTTTTGCTAATCCAAACAGGGATCGATCACAATAAGTTCGGGCCTACGAGATTCTACCATATAGCATATTCATCATATAATTTGGATTAATATTTTGGTTTCTACTTTTGGTTAAGAACATCTTAGATTGAACATTGATTTCTGCTTTATTCATGTGGTCAAACAAGGAACATGAGTAAAACCATAAAAATGTAATTTTAAGATATCACTGAGTTTCTAGAAGGCATGTTAGGGGGAAATTATACAAATCATCTAAAATCATACTACTATAGAAATAAGCAACATGAAATAACTTTGTGCTAGGATGGATTCCTCTTGGAACAGTGCATCTATTTTTGGCACTCATCATGGCAATGTTTCCTAAAATTCTGCCTAGGGAGGCAGAGAGAAGGGTGACATCAGGGGCTCCATTGCTACTGTCTAAAAAGAGCACATCGATCCAAGGCAAGCAATAATTAATTACCTTTGATTAAAATTTTTAAATAAATATAAAATTCTTACAATAATTTACAGATTTTAAAAAGACTCTTTTAAGGCTCATAAAAAATCCAATTTTAATGTTGAACACAACGAGTTCAACATTTTATATTTTAGGAATGATGGGTTATTTCATTTTCTTGCCTAAATATATTGAGTACCAGTTCCATCGGACTGCTTCTAATTCTAGCTTAATAACAGGTACTTTTAAGTATTATCTTGATATTATTTGGTGTAACTTGTCTTTCCGTTATTCAGGACTAGTCGGCCTTATCTGTACAGCAATCGGTGTCTTGACCTCAGGTTACATTGTGTCAAAATTCAAGCCCAGGGCTCGCTACCTGGCTGCTTGGAACGTCTTCACAGAAACTGTTGACATTATAGGCCATGCTATGTTCGCTTACTTAGGATGTTATAAAAACGACCTTGCTGGTTCCATAAACCAGGATGGAACGTAAGCATTTTCTCAGCAATGTGTAATTGGAATTATAGAACAATAAAATCCACAGGTGGAACCTAATTGAGGAGTGCAATGCCAACTGCAGTTGTATGGGACGATTGCCATATTCACCAGTGTGCTCTGAGGATCAACTGACTACTTACTACTCCCCTTGCCATGCTGGCTGTACAGAATTTGAAATGATAAACAATACAAAGGTATTCTTAATATAAGTTTTGAATGAATAAATTTCAGTTATTTTAGTGTGAATTTTCTATTTTGTACTTCTACCACCTTCAAACGAACAAAATTATTGCAAAAATCAAAAGTTCATTTCAGTAAATTTAATATAAAACAAAAAATCATGTAATTGAATTCAAGATCATGTTATATAAACATGTATAAGTAAAAATAAAATCCCAAATCAACACACATATAAAAATGAACCCTTCTTTCTTTTTCTTTTTTTTTTTTTTTTTTTGAAGTCATAGCTAATGTATCAAATAATATAAAATATTGATTCAAACAAATTGATTTTTGTAATTGATTTAGCTTTTGAGGCATAAAAGTAATTTTCACTGCAATAAAAACAATTTTGTTTTTTTCAATTGTATCCACCCTATCAGAACAAACAGAACTAGAAGTTTTTGCCCAATCGCTTGAATACACTGTGCAATGATTTTCTGAAAAATATGAAATGAATATTTTTTGCATTACTAATGACTGCTTGCTTCTTCTTATAATGTTTAATAATTATGCCCATAATCAGCAGTAAACAATTTTTTGAAAATTTATATTTATAAAAATAATTAATCCTGTAAATGCTAATTATAAAACAGAACTTTTTATTAAATAAATAACTTTGTTTAATTACATACAGACCTTTTTTAATTGTTCCTGCATTGGAGGAAGTGGAATAGCAACCAGCGGTGCATGCCCTGTGGACTGCAGCAATCATTTTATCATATTTTTGTGCTTATTGTGTTTTATGAAATTCCTTTCGGCCACTGGGCGGGCAGGAAATACAATAATTCAGTTTAGGTACATTTTGTCTTTATATAACAATATATATTTTATTATTGTGAAATGTTTTGCAGATCAGTTAAACCTGAAGATAAATCGATTTCGATTGCCTTAGCAGAAGTTGTTGTCTGTGCTCTTGCGTTTATTCCAGCTCCAATAATGTATGGATTCTTGCTAGGTATTTAAAAAAGAAAACATAATATATTTTGTATAGACTTTTAAATGATTGAACGATGACCCATTTTATTTTTATCATTGTTTTAAAAAGATTATTCTTGCCTTGTTTGGGGAGAGACTTGCGGAAAAACAGGCAATTGTTGGCTCTATGAAGGAAAGACAATGCGATACTTACTTAATTTCACTGCTACAGGTATTTGAAAAAAATTAAAACAAAATCCATAATTTTCTAACATTTTATTCTTCCAATCGCAATTGCAGGGTTTTTATTTATTGCGACTGTATTGGACATTGGTGTCTTGTGCAACGTTGGCTCATTGAAGATATATGATGAAGATGTCAACAAGGAAGAAAACAAGGACAATAAAGAAACTGAAATTCATCTGCTGGAACAGAAGAAATAAACAAGACCATATCGGGAATCAAGATTATTCATGTGGCAATAATCAAACTTTATCATTTTAATAAAATTTGCTTATTTAAATTTCCCTTTTTCATCAAGGTACTGTAAAAGAAAGAATGGTTAAATCTATAAGTATTTTAATAACGTCCTTCATACCACTTTTATTAAATCAGTTTTTTAAATTATTATCTTTATCATTTTTAAAAACATTGAAAAACAAATTACTAATTACAATTTACAAAATTACTCTTTCTACAGCATCATACATTTTAGCCCATTTAGCCAAACTTACACCAAACAGCCAAAGCTCCATTGGCTCAATTCACTAAGAAAAGGGAAAGGTTTGGCCCAGTTTACTACCACTTGAGAAATTAGAGTTACGTATTAAATTTTCTACTCGGTTTTCTCCAGACAAACCAATTTTTCTTGTAAACTTGGCCAAGACAAATTATGGTTGTTTCTTTTCAAAACTGAAGCAATTTAACATTTATCGTTTCAGTTTCATTTTTCATCTCCTTTCATCTCAATCTATGTTCTAAATGGATTGAAACAATATAAATAATTAACAATAACACACTCACAAATGTAATAGAAAACAGATTTTTGACGGCCTAGTGGAAAATGGTGTAGATTACAATTGTAATCTTCAGGTGTAGAACTAAGCAAAATTTCAATTTCTCATTTTTTACTAATCAAGTATATCATCTGTATTTTTAATAACCATAAAAATTTATTTTTTTAATTAATAACAAACTTGCTACATATTCATACATTTCTAAGATAAACTAGTACAATGGTTGATAAATAAATGATATAAACCAAGATTTAGCAGGTGAATTATCATTGAGATTGACAAAAATAATCATGCTGACTATCCTGGCTGTTGTTGCATTTTGCCATTTAAAAAAGTTTAAATGGATAAAAATTGAGATTTTTTATGTTGACTGGTTTGAGGGATGATGAACCTATAATTTGATCTTTACCTAATCTAATAGGTAAATCCTAGGTAAGTAACTAAGTCCTAATCTAACAGATTTTTTTTAAATTATTGAAGCTGTGATAATGCTGGCTAAAACAGAGAAAGAATGCAGCCCCAAAGATTATTAGATTATTATATTATCACTAATTACAGAATAATTGTAAACCACATTTCAGAAGTCTTATCCAGAAAAGAATTATCCATACAATCTTTAAAAAATTTAAATAAATTTATAATTTTTTAATAATAACTTTCTTGTGAATTTGAAATTAATTCCCATTGATTTAAGTTTATTTTATTTTAAACAAGTATTACAAATTGTTATTAATTAATTACAAATTATTACAATTAAAAACAGGATTATGACTAACAGAAAATTGAATAAAAATTATTATGGAATAAAAGAAACTTAGTTTTATAGGTTTATATTTTGCAAATTAGTTCAAGCTTCATTGTTGGTGTGTTTTCAGCAATTATAAGTGATAAAAGTAAATTTTAAAAAATTTTTAAAGTGAGGATGTTAACCAATTGGCAAGTATCACCATTTATCAAAGTAATCTGTAATTATTAAGTGATAACCTAGGGGGCGGTATTCTTTTGCTATGTCAGACAGCATTGACGCGCTTCAATTGAAAAAAAAAAAAAATCTGTTAGTTCATAATTAATAAATGAGAATTATTTCATTCCAAATGATTTTTTGCCAAGATAAAGTGTCGTTTTTAAGTTTGCAATTTGCCATTTGGTTGTTACCCATCATCTTGGTCTGTTTTCCTTGGTCTCTGGACATGCTGAAGATAACAAAATACCAAATCACATCTGACAGACCAAAATTATCATTAATGACCAAATTCCATGTTTATCACTCTTCAGATCACAGATCTCATTTTTTATCTATTGTAACTTTTTTCACATGGCAAAATGCAACTAAAACTAGGGTAGACAACATGATTCTTTTTGTCAATCACAAGATGGTGATTGGTTTGATTGTTAAAAAATATAAAATATTAATGAATGTTTGCCACAACAAAAACAGTGTTGCTAAGCGAGAGTAATCAAGTGATGATCAGATTGGTGGAGTATTTCCAGGAATTGAAGCGAAGTGTTAGCATGGTTGAGATGGATGTAAATTTAAATTATGGCCTAGATATAACTATAGATTTATAGCCAGATAATGATATTGAACTTTCCTTTGAAGATTTTTAAGATACAATAAAAATATTAAAAAATAACAGCCTATGTAGATATACTGTCACACAATTGTATTAATAAATCTCTATCTACATGAGGAGCACGAGAGGATACTGTGTTAACTTGGGTAGAGTGAAAAGTCATTTCCAAAATTTTATTGCTGATTTTGGCTATATTTTTTAGTTCTCTATACATGATGGAAATAATTCCTCTTATCTGTGTGGGTAATTTATTAGCTATGAAATTTTTATACCTGAACGGGCTTTCATTTTACTTAGTAGCTGGCTACTTTCACACTCTTTAAACATTATTAACAGGCATAATTTTGCTAACGTGTATTTATTGTTGTCAGTTTACAAATATTCACAAATTTTGAATCTAGTTTAGCTAAATATAATCTGTGTCCAGATAACTGACATTGTGCTTCCATCCTGCCTAGATTACACAGTTTATTGGCCCAAAATGGAAGAATCTTGACACTAAGATTTCTATTAATATATGTTTCAGTTGGTCTTATTAACCAAAGTAATTTTTTCAATTGATTTATTATTGTTTATGCAAAGAATGGGTGCACTGAAAAATAGAGTCATGAGCAGACCATCTGGATGGGTTCGAGTCCTGCTTGTGACATTAATTTTTCACTCAACCATACTTTGCACAAAAAAATAATAAATCATTGTATGAAGTTGAAATGTGAAGCTGTTTGGTCCTGATTATTGATAGCGTTTTTGATGTTCCTTAGTGATCAAATAAAATAATAAACAAACAAAACACCAAAACATAGAAGAAAATGAAACTTAATTAAATACTAATAACTTTACAAGAATATAACTTTGAACTATGTGCATATAACAAATGAAAGTTTATTCACAAAATAAAGTTTTTTCCACATAAATTTGGTTAATCTCCCCTAAAGTTGAGCATTGTAGTACTTTGTTTCATAAATAATCACTAAACTAAAGTAAAGTAACTAAAGTGAGACATGCACAAAAGAAGCATATATATTTTAACGTATTTTATTTAAAAACAAATAAATCTTTGTGAGTAATTCAGTTATAAATATATTTTTGGTACAAGTACAGTTATAACATATATTTTTGGTACAAGATCAGCTATAAAATATATTTTTCCTACAATTTTTGGTGGGTGTATTGTCATTCTCAAGAAACTATGGGTTGTTTCCTTGTTATATCTTCAATATCCACCGATCGGAATGAATTAAAAATTACAATTTGAAAAACATTAATCGTAAAGATGGAGGAATGCCTCTATGTATCCCTTGTCTAGTAAATGCTGGACGACATCTCCGATTGTTTCAGTCGCAGTCTCTCCTCCTATTGCCATCATCATCTTCACTTTAGCTTCTGTGTCCAGGTTTTCCATAGATTGCAACGGCAAAGGATTTGGCTCCATCATATAAGGCAAAAAGAAAGAACAAGGGATGTATCCGTAAATAGCCGTTTTTGCAAAGTGCCTGTGAAATTGGTCGAAATCAAAAGGTAGCTCTGTCAAAACTGCAGTGAACCCATCCCAATAACACCGCAGCATGTCGTCCCAGTGTTTTTCCCTTAATTCTTTAGTTGTGTTCATGTACAAAATAAACGCCAGGTCGAGCGAGGGAGTGGTGTACCTTGGTGTCTGTAGGTCGAAGAATTTCACGTCTACTGGTTTGCCATTTTCATACTTGAAAAACACATTGTTCCTGTTGAAATCACCATGGCAGAGGACAGCGAAAGGCTCCTCAGGCTCAAATAACTTCTCTACCATCGCCTTAAGACCGTTTGTCTTCTCCAGGAGTTGATTTAAGAGTTCGAGTTTGTCCCCTTTTTCCATTACGTGTTTGATTCCCCTTTGCATCGCCGTGCAACTGATCTTTTGAATATCAGGCACTTTTTCATTTTCAAACTTGGATTTAGAAAGCTGGCCATAGAGCCGGCGAAATTCTTGAGCATTTTCCCTTTTCGTTTTGTGAGAGAGAGCGTGGAATCTGCCAAGCTTTTCCAATGCCAATGAAAAATGGTTGAAATCCATGAAAACCTTTTCTTCTGTCAGAGTAAACCCTCCAGGACTGAGGTCTTCCAAAATAATCATATCTCTAGAAGTTTCTTTACCCTCAGTAAAATTTCCATAATACATTTTTGGAAAGACATCTAGCTCTTGAGCTTTTAACAGCGGTAAAAGTTCCTCGTACATAAGCACTTCATTTTTAAACAGAACATCACTCATTAGCAATTCTTTGATCAGGTCAGAATTTACGGGGAGCTTCACAATTAACCTGTGAATACATTCAGAAGAGTCGTTTTCTACGGTGACAGCAACACCAACTATTGAAGAGGCAAAGTGTGAAACATGGGCTTCATCCTTTTCACGAAAATTTACAGATTTCAGTTTCACCGGGCCAAAAACACCATCATCGACAATCAATTGAATCACTTTCTTAATGCTGTCCATATCTGAAACATCCACTACTTAACTAAATTACAGAATGACTACTATGGCCTTCAGAGTTTCTCCCACCGTACTGAAACTTCTCTTCTCTACTTCAAACCTGTTTGGACAATGATTGTTTAATTTAGTTGATAACAAAGTGATATATTCCTATATAATTTCCTGATTTAAATTAAAAGCATTTTAATTTACACACTATCTGAAGCAAATAGGAAGTGTTTTCAATAAACAAAATTTCCACCAGTACTAATATACAATAAAACAGCCTGGTTTCCTTTGAAACAAGGGGCTCAAATATTTGTTGCCACAATTATTCAGTATTAAGTTGTAACAAAAGTTTTTATAAAACATTAATTGATTGTTGTCTATTTTTATTTCTTGTTTAGGTCATTTGTTTAAATACACTGTTTCCTAAATTATCTATGTTCAATTGTTTTGATATTTAATTTTGATAACATAAAGCCACAAGAATCACCCACTATTTTGGCAATCTGGAGTCAGACCTCTGTCTCATCTCAACCGCCAGCGAAGTTAAGTTACAGAACTGTCCACTAGCTAGGTCATTTCAGCCCCAAAACATGCAGTTTTTAAATGAAGACACATCCACATCTCATTCAATATTAAATTCATTCTTACCTATTTACATACCACTCACTCAAGCAGTGTGGTGGAGTATTCGATAATCTCCCATCACCCTTTACACGTATAGCGTCGTATAGTGTATCTCTTTTCATTTAGGCCCAACCCTGAATTCGGAGAACCGAAAACAAAGTCCCAGAGGTTTTTTATGATCGGACCTGACTACAATTATTTAATTTATCGATCAGGCACCTTTTTTTAATACATTCCATTCAAACCAAAATAAATACGAGACCAAAATATTAGTTAAATTTAAATCTTTTATTACAATTTACTTCCAAATAAAATTACTTCTTTTATTAATTATTATTTTAATTTAAAGAATCTTTTATTCTATAATAAAACCTATTTCAAAATCTACAAACATCAATTTTAAAATCGAATTTAATTCTCGTTTTATAAAGAAAAGTAAAAGGAATTTTTTTTTGACCACCAATTCGAAAATACGATTAAAATTTTAACACAATTTTTAAAATCAAATGTTATTTCTTTTATTTGTCTTTATAAAAATATATTTTTTGTTACAACCCTTTTTAAATTAAAGTACAGTTATTATTTTTAGTTTTTTGACGTCAAAATACAAAATTTACTCACTTGAATTGTGTGCACACCAAATTTTTTCTTTATTACAAATAAACAGCTCTTTAACCCACGGAGGAAAGAAAGTGAATTGAATCCTTTTTAAAAAGATGGTTCCTACTCACATTAAGTTGTTTCCCAACAATCCGGATTTCGAGCCCTTTAGCTCATCGTCCGGTTGAAGGGTTTCTACAAACACGTCTCTCGACATAAATTGCTAAAGTGAAGTGTGAACACACCCGCTGATACTCCCGCCAACGCGACGATCCAATGAGGAGCTGGTTTTTTAATGGCGCTCAATTTGAACGTGCGAAAAGCGGGAAAAAACGGGTATCTAGAAATATTTATTGATAGGTTGCTAGTTAAAAGAATAAAAAAATTAACTTAATATTATTGGACAATATTTTGGGTTATGCAATTTAATTGATCGTGTGTAGGCGATATTGAAAGATTGTGCAATATATTGCATGATTGACGAAAAGTTGAAAATATATTGTACAACCTGGAAAATATTGCACCGTCTGTTGGCATTATTGCGCAATATCAGTTTGTGAAGTATCGACAAGTGGAAAATATTGCACAAACGTCAATATCGCCTTCAAACTATTCGAGTTCATTGCACAAACAAAATTTGTACAATATTATTGAACGTTAAGGGCAACCGTCAAATTATTGTGCAATCTATATTGTACAATAATATTGACCGTCTATGGGCCGCCTAATAATTCCCGCTTTTCGCACGTTCAAATTGAGCGCCATTAAACAACAATTCATTGGAACGTCGCGTTGGCGGGGGTATCAGCGGGTTCACACTTCACAGTTTCACACTTCACACTTCATAGTTCACTTTAGCAATTCATGTCGAGAGACGTGTTTGTAGAAACCCTTCAACCTGACGATGAGCTAAAGGGCTCGAAATCCGGATTGTTGCGAAACAACTTAATGTGAGTAGGAACCATCTTTTTAAAAAGGATTGAACTCCACACTCACTCCATCATTCATAATTTCTATAGAAGAAAGGGAATTGTTCTAGGGGGCTGGGGGACTGAAAAAATAGCCTTTTCCTAGCCCCTACTCCTTTCACTGTCATATGTGTGTGGAGGGGCATGGCGGTACATTCAAATCTAAACATGACACACGTATTATAACTTAATTGAGAGTCGATGAGGTAGTCAAAATTCTGCCATCTACCCTCTTACACTACATATTCACGCTAATAATTTACACAAAAGGGAACAAAAAATGAGTTATCAATCAATACTAAGTACAAAAAAAAATCCCATTTTCCTCCAAAAATTGGAACAGAAACTGAAATAGAAGCAGCCGTGCTCAAGCACAGTTTCCATATGGCATGCCTACTCGCTCTCCATATGACGCCAAGGAATGACAACCTTCAATTATGTGGGACACATTGAGTTACCTTTCCCCTACATATCGGACACATACTGGCTTTGACCCAGAAGTGTGTGTGTCAACCTCACATGGTCTAATCTTAATGTGATGATGATGCCTCCTCTAAGGGATTTTCATCAACCTTAGAGGTCTTGATATATAGTAATTGCTGCTAACTTAAGGTTTGTGGTCACATAATATGATTACATGTATTGAACCTTGCCTAGAAATGCATCGAAAGGTTAATCTGAGAATATTCTAGAGAATATATAAGATTTAAAATGTCAAAATTTATAAGAGGAATAGTCAAAAATGTGATAGGTTTATTGGTAGAACAACTGAAAAAGATTGTTGTCAATGAACGACAGACGGAAGATAGACAAAGTATTGAGACTTTTGGATAATGACATTGTAGAGAAAGAAACCTGTGCCTGTCCTTTTCCATGTCATTTACTATCGTAACAAATATTTAAAACTATGTATAAAAGTTATTTGTATCCTTCATCGTATGAATCCTATAATTTGATTGGGTTATTAATAACTATGACATAACACTGGGCATCAAGCCATAGGAGTTGGCTGTCAAGTTCATGTTTACACTATTTTCTCAATTTTAGCCTCTGATTCATCCAAGCTTAGCTAATATTAAACAGTTTACTTTTTTTACCTAAACTACAATTAAATATAAGTGTAATTTGTATATAAAATTAACTGATTACAATTTATGAACAGCTGTCGTACCAGCCAAAAATGTTATTATGTTCTAGTTTGTGCCATTTCACATGTAGATTACCTAAATTTGCAACAGAAAAGCTTAAGAGAACACACATTTATATTTAGTTTGTACTGAGAAGTCATCAAGTAAGGATCACACAGTCTACACAGGTTGATATCACAAAAGGTTCGTATCAGTTTTGATTTTTAGGAAATAATTATATAAAACAGATCATTTTTACAGATAACATTGTAGAGATATTACATGAATAGCATGAAATCATGGTGGGGTATTAAATTGATAATAACTTTCATAATAATATTTTTATAATAAATCAAACAAATCAAAAATAAATGATCAACTGATAGGAAAGACATTTTTGCACAGGCAAATTATTTACATTAAAATATTACATCTCATTGTATATTCATATTTCTGTATATACCTTTAATTCAATATATGTAGTAAATAAGGAGTTTTTTGTATAATCCAGATTTGTAACTTCTGAAAATTTTCAGATGCCGCTCTTCTCAAGTCGGATAAATGAGAAGATTCAAAGATATGACAAACTGATCAAGGACATTTTAGACCCTAAACTTGACACGTCTGACATATCCGATCGCTTTTGGTACAACAGTCCGAGTTTTCGGACTCTGGCCAATTGGACTGAAGACCGCATCAGAACCAAGCCTTCCAACTCTAAAGATGGAGTGTTCAGGGTTGACGTCGATGTGCACAACTTTAAATTAGACGATCTCGAAGTCAAATTGGCCGACGGTTTTGTCACCGTTGAAGGGAAGCACGAAGAAAGGCCAGATGAGCATGGCTATGTCATGAGACATTTTGTGAGAAAATTCAAACTTCCTGATAGTATAGCGTCAGAACAAGTTGTCTCAAGTTTATCCTCAGATGGGATTCTTTCACTAACTGCACCTAATGTTAATGTAATAAATACTATTTGATTCCCCCTCACCAAAGTTTATAGTTTCATTAATACATTATTAATAAATTAATTATTGTATATTTTTTCCTTTAATTAGGATAATCATTTAATGCAGTAAGAGACGTATTAAAAATATCCTCCTGCTTCCATTATCTTCAATATCATTTCCATAATCTCACAGGTATGCTACCTCGGTTTCTATCTCAGCAGCAAATTTTTCTAAAATGATTACGACCAAACCGTATGGGCCTTCTATACAACTAGGAAAAATAAATTTATGTTAGAAAATAATTTGACCATGTACAATTTCATTATTCAACCCATTTAACATAACAGACTCCAGGCTTCTAACAAGCATTTTCCTTTATCTAATCAGTCACTTAATAAAGAATTTTATAATACTTTTGTAAAAGAAATTGTCTGATTCTGATTACAGAAATTCTACAACAAACTTAATTTTCAACCAATCCGTTGGCTTTTTCCATTTCGTACAGTAATCTCATAAACCCTCCTCAAAGGCTGAAATGTCTGTTACCAATAAATCTCTTCTAACCAGCATAAAATTTTTATAAAAACTATGTAAAATAAAAAGTATTTAAAAAAATGAAATATTGTATTGACATATTACATATCTCAAGGGAATACTAAAACTGTTTAGCAAATGCTCTTCAGACTATAGGGAAATTAACTATATTGCTAGATGCAATGTAATATTTTTGTTGTACTTACTAATTAAATTTAAAAAAATATATTTTTTATATCGGAGTAGCATAATTTCTCACCATTCCCTTTATAAAAAACCCTTTATATTTTATTTGTTATATGCAATGTAAGACCTGTGATCTGTACTTGTGCTGAATTATATTACAGTTACATAGCATGGCGAATGCTAATTTAATTACGGTAATATATTACAGTACAACTTTTTTTTTTAAGAATAATAAATGAAAGATGAAGAAAGTAATGCCACTAATCGTTTATGCACCAAAAAAGACCTGAGGCCTCCCAATGTGGGATGCGAATGCACCACAGCCGGAAGTGCATTCCAATGCCTCGCATCTGTCAATTTAAATGATTGGAAAAACTGCTTCAAGACTAGGTGTGTTTGTATAAGAATACCTGTCCAGTTTGAGGGGTTCTACAAGCATTTTCTCCATTTATGAGGGTCAGTTAAATTATGTAGGATTTAGTTATTAAAAATAAGTCTACAGCATCTCCAATAGTACTGATAAGGTTCACAATTACACAATAAGTTTTTTTTTCTTTGTCTGGATAAATGAGCTAGTGATCTAATGTTCAATACATAACGAGTGCAAGCATTGATAGCTATCTGAAGTCTGTGAAAGGATTTAAAATCAAGTGTATTTGAGAAAATTGTATAACAATACTGAAAGCAGGGAGCTACACGTGAGTGAATTAATTTTAGTCGCAAGGAATAAGTAGTAAAATAAGAAAGTCTATTCAGGAAATAAAGCAAACTATAAAGGTTGTGACAAACTTTCCCAATCTTAGTTTTACAATTCAGATTGCAAGAAAGGTGTAAGCCAAAATTCTTAATTATGCATGTAAAGGAATAATATCTTTTCCTAACAAAATAAGGGGTAAGGTAAATAAGAAGTTTCCAAACAATTTTTATAAATAAAATAGCTTGTGATTTGATGTTATTAATAGTGATCAAATTATTGGCCCAATTTGAAATTGATATAAATTTTTTGAGTGATATATTGAATGAATTCAACAGGAGGGCAATGCATATAAAATTGAAAATTATCGGTAAAATGTTGGCATTCATAGCAATTAATAGAAGTTAAGATGGCATTAATGAACAATGAAAATGGATTTTTTTTAATTGGGTTCGAACCTGGGACCTTCACCCTACAGTGATGCACACTGTGTAAACATCATAACCGTTATGGCCACCAATGCCCCCTTACTCTGTATATATAACTTTTTTTTTAATTATTTGTCTTGCCCCTATATGTTTTTCAGGTAAGTTTTTGTTTTTAACCTTTTTTTACAGTTTTTCCCTTTTTAATCCTTTTTAAAAAAGATGGTTTCTATTCACATTAAGTTGTTTCGCAACAATCCGGATTTCGAGCCCTTTAGCTCGTCAGTTTTTCCTTCTTCCCCCTTACAACTTGCAAAGTTTCCAATTTCTGTTCTATAAAAACCTATAGGAAGGAATAGACGGCCAATGGGGTGATGGTTAGCCAACCATGGAGTGTTAAGGCAAAATCAACTTTCTGAATTAAAAACCACCCTTGGGGTAAAAATTACCCTGCTAGACTTGTCCAGTTATTTTTTGTGCAAACAGTGGGTCAAGGACTGTAACAGTATTGCCACCTGTGCAATGTTAGTACTTAGTCAGTCTTCAAGAAAATTTGAGATCACCGTAAAAAACTTAAGTATGTCAAAGTGTAGACATATTTAAGATTGTTTTGCCATAGTGATGAACTTAAAGTAAGTCGAATGTTTGGCAGTAACAATTGTTTTTTTCTTCAAGATCATACCTTAATACAGTGTTTGTGAGTGGTCTATACTTCTAACAATGAAAATGTTAATTGTTAAACCAATTATTTTATTTTTCCCCCTGACAATTATGCCTTCTATTGTTTTCTGTTACTTCTTAATTTATTTCTCTTACATAATTACTAATAACATTTAGTTTTTAATCTTGAACGTACGAAAAATTCAAGACATACTCTTTGACCTATCAAAATCATAAAAATGTTATTTCTCGTATGAATTGCAAAAGTGGTCATGTCATACTTTGTCATTATGGAGTACAAACAATACAAAGATAAGAAATTTTGTGTACCATCAAGTTTACAAGAAGTTTCTTTTTCACCTAGATGTCTTAGGTTTCAACGATTTGAATTCACCTCAAGAGGGCAGAAAAAAGACAACAAAAGATTTGATAAACCAGCAACATTTTTGATTAATTCGTCAATAATTGTACATGGTCTCATGCATTCATTTCAAGTGAGATGCTCTTAGATTCAGTAAGCACCATAGTAAACCTGCCAAACAATTATATTTTTGTGTTGTGCAATGCCACTCGCACTGCTAAAATATTAATATACATATAAACCCAGTCATCTGCTAGTCTTTATCATGCTTCAAACTCTTGAAGATTCTTCTTCATCCTCTTGGGTACATAATATTACTGGTGACTCTGAATATTCTAACAGGAATCTAACAACAGACAATTATGGATACACATCCCAAAAAATTATTGTTAATAATGTTTATGTTTTTATACAAATATTCTTTAATGTTTCATTTATAATACAGAAAATTCCAAATGGGAATCATGATTTATGCTGTACCATCAGCTGTAAAAATTATCATTACTTTATCAAGTTTAAGAGTGCATAAAACCAGGCATGATATACTAAACCTCAGTACAAATATTGATCAGTATTGAATAAATAAACTCCAAAATTTTGAAAATGTTATTTTTTTATTTTGATTGGTTAGAAAGGTAAATTTATTTATAAATACATTATAGATTTATATTAAAAAATACTAACTAGATAATTTGTATTATATCATTTTTCAGACCGTTTTTAGAAGGTGGATAGTTTAATTTTAAACAAACTGCCTACCTTCTAAAATGGCCCGAGAAAAATAATATAATACAAACAGTATAAACAACTATACCAGAATAAATAAGAATCATAATAAAAATAAAAAGAAGCTCTAACAAAGTTACATTTTGCATTTTTCTTAGTGCATCTTGATTGATTGACAGTCTTGACAGTTTGATCTTCCCAGAATGGAAATTCGTTAATTGCAGAAATTAAAGACCGCAATGATCAAGAGAAATAAACTGCTGATTAATGTATTAATCAGTCAGAAAATCTTTAAAGGGCCTTAATTGACATGATCATCTATTGATCTAGAAGGTAATTAAAAATTAAATTTTTGTTTACCATTCAATACAAAACTTTATAATCACAGTTAAACTGTTTAAGCAAAATTAAAAACAACTGCTTTAGAGAAACAACCGAATATTGGTTCAGTATGAGTTTATTTGTTTTATCGAATAACATTCAAGGGAATGGTCATGTTCCGGGGCATTAGTGAGAGTAAAGCATCTCCGAGTTCTTTACTGACCCTAAACCAAGTATACTTATCAATAGGGAACACTTCTTCTAGTGGAACACGGAACGAGACCAACAAAGTAAGACAGAGACCGTCCTTGACCGATTCTGTTGTTTTAGGCTGGTGCTCGACACAGATGATCCCGTGTGGTTTATGGGGGGGTACGTCAGCTCCAAAAATGTCCTGTTTGTCGAATTAAAAGTTATAATATTTGTATGCCTTATTTGTAATGAATCAAAAGACACTGACCACCATGAATTTGCGAAGCGTTGAATGAAGGCTCTGAAGATGGTTTATTTCACACATAGGAAAATGAGCTTCTGTCTTTTCAGAGAGGAGTATAAGCACTCGGTTGCTAAAAACATAATTACAATAATATCAGTATTATCACTTTTTGAGCATAATTAAAACAGTGAAACAGGAATGGAGCTTTACAGTGACAATATGTAATATAACAACCTCTTGAACTAAAAATTTTATAACATTTCTGCAAGAATTATTTATTTATTTGGGCAAAGTTCAGACAAGAATAAATTCCCAAAATAGTACAGTCATTACAGCACAGAAAAAAATAAAATAAAGCAAATAAGCAGGGTCATATTAACCCTTGGTTGGCTTCAAAGCAGTTTTGGAAATCTCAATTGGAGTTGGAAATAACACTGAGATCAGAAAATTTGTTGACCCCCTTATCTCCATTGACAGTATATCTGATAGTAAGATAATATTATTGGAATTTGTTGCCTTAGGATTGGAGAAGCAGATAAATATATACTTTTCACCATTAATGTCTATCTTAATCAGCTCCTGTTCTCAAATGCAATCAGATCCTCTTAAAGAAGAGTGCAATGACTCCCAATCCACCTCCTTAAACAGTAACAGCAGTAAATGACTATTCCTAATAACCTTAGTAACATCATTGAAGAGGGTCAAATATAAAATTGGCCTGGTATGTGAGGAACACCCAAGCTAATACAAACCATACTTGAAGAACACTTTTGTAGGAGTCAGCAAATAATCTGTTAACCAAGATTGACTCAAACCAGGCTAGTAAGGGATACCAGAAGCTCGTAGTTTTTAGACAAGAATCTGTATAGGCACCCCATATTGAATTCAGTATCAAAAACTTTTCAAAAAGTGTATATTGATGAGTATATTGCCATTTGAAATAATTAAGGCTTCTATCGTATCCTGTTATTCAAGAGGGTTAGATAAAAAAAAAAAAACTTTTTAGTTCATGAAAAACTACCAACTTTTCAGTTTCTGGGCAGTACAAAATTCTCTTAATGAGAAAAAATTTACTTCACTTGAGGTCTTCAAAAAACACAGAGTTCATTGCTCAACAACCTGAGAGTTCTGGAAGACAGAATTACACGGAAGATGGCAACAGGTAGAGGAATAAAATGGTTCATATGTTGTTAATTAAATTTGTTTGCAAATACCAAAAATTTTCATTGAATTTACCAAAAAAACACTACTGACTTATTTTATGACCTGATACTTTATAGTCTTTTAAGATATTTTATATTTGCACAAAAAGTATATTTTTTATCCAATTAATTGACATAGGTCCACTAATGATAAGTAACTAATTAGAAAACATACCTGCTCTTTTTCTTGATGCAAACAATTAATCTCAGAAGAAGTTTCGAATGTGTTTTCAACGACGGAAGGATTTCTGAGTGTTGCGGTTCTTGTTTTTTGAGAAAAGACCTGCCCCTTTCAATTATAGGGAGGATATCATTAGCCCTTAGACTCATTTCGCTGATGTCTTTAACCCACTTCGCCTGAAGGGACTCAGCATCTGCTTGTGCTGGTGTTTTTAAAGTGCCGCTGACCACTGTTCCGGTCAAAACAAATCTGAACCATGCTTTGCTCGCACACTCGATCATTATTAAAGAAGTCGGCCTCATAACAAGACCAGTTTCCTCCAACACTTCTCGTTTTAAGGCTTCCTATAAATAATTAATTTGACTATTAAGTACATCCAATGTGATAGAAAATACCTAACATACTTCTATAGTTTCGTCACGTTCCATCCTTCCAGCAGGTAAATACCACTGGCCAGCACAAGATCTCTTAGCTTCTTGCATTAACAATACATCGCCCTCACTATTAAATAAAACTCCCATCACGATATAAGTTACGTTTTCTTTGATGACAGGTACGAATTTGGATGGTGCAAGTGGTGCAACTCCTTTGGCAGCTAAACAAAGTCACAATGATAGCAATCACAAACAGATTAAATTTTATGGCATAAAGAATACAATATTGCCTAATAAACTGTTTTAATAAGGTCAGCCCTACTGGACTGTCTTAATCTTAATTAGCACAATTCTCAAATGAGGTGGCATTCCTGCACGCTCTCTGTATGGAGCCAAGGAACTCTTCAATTAGGTAGGAAACATGAAGCAACCTTGCTTTGCATTCCAGACACACACAGTCTTTGGCCCAAAAATAAGCATCTGTGTGTTAACCTCGCATGGCCTATTTTTAATTGGGTGAGGATGACCCTTCTTCTACGATCCTCTGAGGGCCACCCATCAACAGGGCTCTTGATACGCGAGAGCTTTTCTGTTGATCCGGCCCGTTGATGCTGCCACCTTCTTTTAATCATGTTTTTATTGCATTCTTAGCGTAAGAGGGCCGGATTGTAGTAGTTAAGTCCAGAGGTTGGGAATAAACTTTATGTATGTTACCATACACTGTATTGTTCTTGTTGAAAAAAAAACATGTAATATGTATGTGTTCATAAGTTCATACATTGACAATAGGCACATGTGATATGAAAGTGTCTGATTGGTATGTAAATAGAATAAAAAGCCTGTAATTCAAGGTATTTCCTATTTATTATTGAATTTGAGCTGTCAGTGAAAATAAAATAGGGGGTTTGGACGTATAGATGTCACTAAGAAAAATTGAATTAACATCCAATGAGGGAAATTTTTAATAGTCACAGAGTGGAGTAAAGCACAATTTACTATAACAAGTCCCATATCCTATTTCAAAATTGGCCATATATTGTTTTTAAATAGGGAAACATTAAAATTAACTGTTTCTATGTAGGCCTTTATGAGGGGAGGAAGCTTTGTCACCAGAATTTTTGAATATCAAGATTTGAGTTGACCTTAATAATTCTTTTTGTTAACATGTTTTTATACATAATGTCATTATTCGTCAATGAGTTCGTTTGTGAGTAGGACGACCGACATAAATAAGTCTGCTAAGTCAAAAATCTCACTTACCCGCTGCTTCGTTTTGCTCTTGTAAAGTGAAGTCGCAGAGTTCATCGTTGTCATCGATGTAAGTCCCGTTAATTAAATTGTTCAGCTTATTTTCTATGTTGTCCATTATTTATTTAATGAGGAAACCAATCATATTATTAAATATGGGACATTTTACCTAGCACTTAATTCAACTCCATTTCGGAAGTTGTCTAACGGTGTTTGTTGAACCTTATCATGTAATACCTTCGTCTTGCCACGTACAAAGTATCGATAATTTAATATTCGATACATTTGGAGGGGTATCGAAAAACAAAAAATATATTATTTATTTATTTTAAAGGTACAAGTAGGACTTTAAGCCCCCTAAACAAGTACTTATCATAGAAATAAATTTAATTTTATAAACATATTAAAATAATAATAATAAAATGTATAAAACAAAATTGACAATAATATATATTTTTAAATATCATTATTACTTTCTACTTCTTTTATTACATCATCTAGAGTCCCCCAGGGAACACACTTAGGCCCCTTTCTATTTAAGATCTTCATTAACGATATTGCATCTGTTCTTGATGAGACACACTTTCTCCTGTAAGCGGGACGCACCTACAACTTTCTACTTTTGCTTTTCGCAAAGCATTAAGAGATATTCAGCATACATCTACTTTTTGTGTAGGGTTCTAAAATTCAATAAACCAGAGAGAGATATTCTTCAACATTTATTGTCACTATTCTGTCTTTAAGACAAATACAAACAATAAAATTGTCAATCTAGACAGATAAAAATGCTACTCTAACATTAACACAACAAAAATTTTAACTGGCTTTATTGTCAGGAAATATATAGTGATAAATATAATGATTATATATAAATAAACTGTTCACACTGTGTAAACACTATTTGTTGGTATTATTTGTTCTTACATTTTTATTTATATCATTACAATAGATGACAGTCAGGGGATCAAACTTTTATTGTTGACTTGTTAGATCCAACTGCTCTTATTGACAAAGAGTACTTATAGCGACAAAACACGATTTTTGAGCATCATTCTTGTAAAACAAATTTACAAAATTATTTTATACTTATGCTGTTTACACTTCTGCATAAGGAGCCTACAGTTGTAACTTTGTGCTGAGAATTGTCTAAGCCATAAATTCCGAAGTCTTTTGTCATCACATGGAAACTAATTTCAACCTTTCCTTGGCTTCTCACTCGTGTCACTAAAAAACACATTAAACATAACAAATATAACAATAAGAAATACATAATCAGAATATGATTTAGTAAATGGAAAACGTTATTATTAATTAGTTTATTGCATAAGTATTTTAACATAAAAAATATTTAATCAATATGTGATAAATAAATAAAAATGTCAATGAAAAAAGGTTCAAGATGTACAAACAGCCATTCATAAAATAGTGCATTTTGGTTCTTTAATCTTTTAAATTAAACCAAAAAATATTTTACAAATTTATGTATTTAAAATAAAAGTTACAGAAAAAACATTAATTAATAATTACAATAAAATATCAAACCATTACCCTCTCTTCCTTCTCCTTGAGCTAGGACACGAGGATCTATATATTCTGGTCTTCTGCCTGTTAACCAGGAAGTAATTTTCTGAAGGAATGAACTGGATTCTGGCACAAACATAGGAACTCTGATGGAAAAACGACAAAACTTAATAAGTTGTTTTGTTAGCATTTTTTATATACATAAATAAGAGATGTTAAAATCTGTTTGAAGGTCATTATTTTTACCTAAACATTTACCTTCATTAAAAAATAATTATTATTAAAATTAAAGTTAAATTAACTAACATTTTCTTCCAGTGCCCGGCTGAAATTGGAATATGACAGATGCCATACCCTCTTACGACATCATTCCCAAATGTGTCGATACCATAAACACTTAAAATTAGCTGCGGCCCTGGAAATAAATCATAGTTAATTTTTTTAAAGAAAATAAAATTCATGTCAATTGTTTAAAGTTGACAGTGACATGATAGGCATCATAGGACTAGTGCTGAAGATATTTTTCATTTCTTTGTAGTATTTAAACAACTCACTTTTCAAAGGAGAAAAATAAAAATAAATAATAAATAATGAGAGACACCTATTATTAGCACTAATAGTCATTACTCACAGCATCACTTTGCATTTTTACAAGCACAGGTCTATGTGATTTTTCTTTTTACACTTCTTATATTAGACAGTGGTGGAAAATTTTATTGTGTTTTTAATGAGGTCATTTGGGTGGTGAACCGTCAAGTCTAGAAGCCGAACACAGCTGCATAGGATTGAATGAATATCGGGCAAATCTATGTTTGTGTGCAACGTTGAATTTGTTACAAACTACTAAGCTCCTGTCATAATTATTGGGTTGTCCGGAAAATAATGCAGGATTTTGGTATTAAAAAAAAAAAAGAAACTAGTTACTTTAAAGCAATGTTCTTTAATCAAAATAATTTCCCATACTCTCAATACATTTCTCCCAACGTGTTGGTAACTTATTAATTCCGTCTGAGTAGAATTCAGAATTTTTAGAATTGATAAAGTCAATAAATGCATTTTCCAGTTCCGTTTGATTTTTGAATATTATGTGTTGTAAGTAGTGGTCCAGGTGTCTAAAAAAATGGTAGTCAGTAGGCGAGAGGTCCGGAGAGTAGGGTGGGTGAGGCAAAGTTTCATAGCCAAGCTCCAATAATTTTTGTGACGTTACACGTGACACATGTGGTCGAGCGTTGTCATGCAACAAAATGGGCCCTTTCCGATTGACCAAAGAGGGCTTCATTACTGCCAATTTCTGATGCATGGTATTAATTTGGTTACAGTATGATTCAGCATTGATGGTTTCGCCAGGATTTAAGAAGCTGTAGTGTATTAAACCAAATGAAGCCCACCATACCGTAACCATTACCTTTTTTTGATGAGTTGGGGGCTTTGGAAAATGTATTGGAGCTTCTCCTTTGTCGAGCCACTGTCCAGAACGTCTAGTGTTATCGTAGAGAATCCACTTTTCGTCACATGTAACAATTCTGGCCAGAAATGGGTCATTTTTGTTTCGACAAAGAAGTGATGCACAAACATCAAAGCGCTGATTTTTTTGGCGATCGTTTAATGAGTGTGGAACCCAATTTTCGAGTTTTTTCACTTTTCCAATCGCCTTGAGGTGGTCAGCGACGGTCGTTTTACTGACTTTGAGTTGCTCTGCACCCACCACTGATCGCAGAACATCATCATTAAGAGAGGAAGGCCTTCCACGACCTTCTTCATCTTCAAGGCTGAAATCTCCCTCCCGAAATTTTTTAAACCACCTTTGCACAGTGCACTCATTAACACAACCCTCGCCCCAGACTTGGTTAATGTTTCTAGCCGTTTGGGCTCCGCTTCGGCCGAGTTTAAACTCGTAAAAGAAAATCGTACGAAATTCTCGCTTTGACATTATAAGGATGACTGAATTATTTCCAAGTAGCGGAATGCTACAGAGGTAAACAAACAATATCATTTGGAAGAGGATTAATAAGTGTTGACATTCATACAAATGAGTAATCCTGTAAACGTAAACAGAATATTTTATATAGATTTTTTTTAATGAAAACTTAAAATCCTGCATTATTTTCCGGACAACCCAATATGTAGTAGACATTTATTTTGTACAGTTGTGTACCGTTTTGACATGACAGTTTGCTGCATATCCCCAAATTGCACATCTATATTGCCATCATCAGCTACTTGAGCAGTCTGAGGGAAGATCATAGATAAGCGTAAGTTGCATGAAAGGTCCAAGAATGTTTCCCCGTGGTATTCCTGTCTTTATTTTCTCACTTTGAGAGTTCTACCATTTTACTGAGACCATCTTTAGTAAGTTTTATTTAATCTCTTCATCTTAAACTCCGTTGTGGAAAAAAATTCAAAGAAGCCAGTAGTGCAAACAATTTTGGTTGTTACTTATTTCATTAAATTGGTCAAATTTATGATAAATTGCATTGGCCTTAAGTGTGTGATGAGGAAAAACGGTTAATAATAGTTAGTAATAGGATTAAATAACGGTTAATAAACAATTTATTTACCATTATTGTTTTCATAAATTGTTGAAACATTTTCAGAAGGTGTTAGTGGAAAACCATCTTTATTGTTCCATTAAATTGGTTGAATTTATGAATAATTATATTGATTTATGAGGCCTAGAGTGTGTAATAAGAGAAAAAAAAAACAGAAGGTGATACTGTCAGGGTTAAATTTTAACTTACAACCAAATGGGTTTGTTCCCCTGAAAGAAATTTCAAGGGGAAAATTCCAAATGAATAACTCATCCTCGTCGCTGCTTTTGGCAACCTGAGTCACGCCTTCTTCAACACCCTGGACAAAAGATAAACTATTGTTAGAAATAAAATAGTTTTCCATTATAACATACTGAACTATAATGACAAACTGACCGAAGTTACATCCCAGTCCTGACCGAACATAAAACAGTATTTGCAGTAGATTCGATCATATTCTGGAAAATCAGCCGTTTCTATTTGCCCCGCGACGGATAATATGAATCCGGACATAGTCTGATATATATATATTTTTTTTAACCTGCCCTTTAATAAAACAGAAACATCGACAAGATTGTCTATGCAATCCTTATAATGACAGAAATTTGTGTTTTGGCGGTTGCTATGGAGACCTTGTTCGACACCTTTTGGACGAAATCTTTTTTATAACCTACTACGATATCCTCCTCTTCATAGTATAACAACAAACAAAATAAATAATAATAGCGATAATTCGCCGTTGCGTTTTTATTTCAATTATACAAGTTGCCTTAGCTTTGTATAAACCGAGTTTGCTTGCATCCCTTGACAAAGATAAAAGAATGATATAGATAAGAGATGGTCACCTATAGACACTAGATGTCGGAACCAGATATGCCACAATTGTACAAATTCAATAATTGTGCAGATACCACATCTTAGATTTTTGTGAGTTTAAGACCTTAAAATCACATTATTTTTTTTTAGTTTGAATCCTCTACTCGCTATTTAGATAGCTTTAAATTGCACATTTAACAGATAAAAACAATCCTTTATTGTTGTTTGTTTCAGACTTTTTTATTATTACATTTATTTGATTTACAACTGCAAATATTGTATTAAGTAAATATATGTTGAATTTATCATTTGAGGCTCTTGTAACAGAAGTCACTCATGAGAAGGACTCGGGGACACTTTCGCTTTAATCGGCTTGGAGGATTTTCAGGTAGAGTTGGAAGTGATAAAGGTCATACTAATAGATTATTGTGTGTGTTCAGTGATTGATGAATTTTTTTATAAGGGTTTCGATGAGTTCATGTACAAACGGGATGTGTAGGTTGTTATGAATAGTGTAATTTGAAACGTAAAAAGGATCATTTATAATTTGACGGAGAGTTTTAGATTGGATTGATTGGAGATGGGAATTGGAATCTTTGGTAGAGCCCCACACTGCACAGCTGTACGCCCAGAGAGGTCTAATCATTGTCTTTAAATTAACAGTTTGTTTTCAATGTCTAATTTTGATCGTGAGTCAAGTAGTCTTTTTATAAATTATAATGTCAGTTTGTTTGCTGTCTTTTCAGTCTTGTGTGGGGATTCCAAGTCAGTTATTTATCCATGAAAAGTCCAAGATAACACACAAGGTCAGTGGTAGGCAATGGGATTCCATTTATACTCACTACAGGACAGATATTTTTATGTAAGGTAAAATTTATCTGTACACTTTTTGTTAGGTTTATCTTCATTCTCCATTTTGTGAACCATACTGTTGTCATTCAGGTGTAAGTGTTTGAGTGTTAATTGAGGGGTCCAAATTACATCTAAGAATTGCTGTGAATGTATGTGTTGAAATGTTAACATGTGTAGGAATATCTACAGTGTATATTGAAAATAGAAATGGGCCAAGTATACTTCCCTGATGAACACCCACCCTAATGAGTACATAAGGTGAGAATTCAGTTCCGGTCTGTCAGACTTAATATGAGAAGTTGAGAATAAATGCAATGAGGTTCTTTTTACCTATTTTTGAATAGTTCCCACCTCAGCTTTTTATGATGCCCCTGTCAACTTTGACTATACCAGATCCAGATTTTTCAAACTGAAAAAAATGTACTTTACATTGATGTCGTCTTTCCAAAAAGGCAGTTCGCATCTGTACTAAAGTTCAGTTACAGACCACCATTTCAACATATTCGATTCTTCTTGGTAGTCGGCAATGTCTCAGCTTTGCCTTTTTGAGATGTAAGGATGTATTTCAATGAGAAATGGCTACTAGTTAGATAGATTTACTTCAAATCCTGCCTGTTTTGGGACCGCGGTAGCCGAGTGGTCAGCGTGAGAACTTCAACATGTCAGCTTGTAGACCTTGTGGTTCTTGAGTTTGATTCCCACCCCCTTTATATGATGAAATAATCAATGGAATCGTACTTTCGCTAATATGCAAGCTCATAAGTCCACTAGAAAATGAAAATCTTTCCTATTGATCAAACGAATTCCAGCATATCCTATGGATGTTGACTGATACCGTGAGCCAGAAAAGCTCTTCTGACCTTCAGAGGATAGTCTAGTTTCTTACATCCCTCAGCCAAGTTTTCCTTGACATAGTGATTACTGTAGAGATGATACCTGAAGCGATTTATCATGGCCTTCTTTGATTCATCCTTCTACTGTAGGTTTTCTGTGGTGGATGTGAAGCTGGTTCATTGCTACCACAACTTAGAAAAGTACAATAAGTTTTCATTTGAATTGTAGGATATAAAATTACAAAAGCCATGTGATTTGTACCAAGCCGTGGCATGTAGGACAATGTCCTAATTTCAGCAGATGAGCAATGTCAATTATATCTAGAAGAGACAGAACATATACTATGCAACTTATCCACAATAAATAAGAAGCTTGAGCCATATAGATTTTGATACCACAGCCCTGAGAAGAATTCTCGGTTCATAAAACAAACCAAAATCTTCCTGGTAATAAAATATAAGAGATAAGCACAACAGACAAAATTTTAACTAATAAAATGAGAAATCTGCTCAACTTCAAATAGGAAAAACATCCTAATCACTTGACCACCACAGTTAGCAGCAACAATACCCAGCACCTATAAGAAAAAGAAGAATTGATGCAGAGAGATAAGAATTATTAAAAATTAGGAAAATAATAACTATTTTATTTTTATTTACAAGATTGTAAAAAATTATAAGTAATATGGGTTAAGGAGTTATTCAACAGATTTCCTATTTAAATTATCAATTTACCTACTTAAAATGTGGTCACCGCTGGGTGGAGGGAGCAACACAAATGTACCAGAGATTCTGTTTTTCTGTCCCAGCTCATCTTCTACTATGTAGTTGGAAGAAGTGGCTGATGATAGTTTTTTTAAACTGTAACGTTCTGGTGTTTGTTAATTTTTGTCATATTTATGCCTAATAGTTTTCAAACTCTTCCTCTGTCCTTTTCCTTTAAGGCCGGACCCACACATCACTTTGTAGTCAAATTGCTCAGCGATAGGCTATTCGTGTTTCCAAATGTCTTCTCCAAAGAGGGAAATGGACTTTATAAAAGAATGTATTATTCTGAAAAATAGAATTTATTTTATCACAAATCCTGCCACTTAAAATAACAAGCCCTTTTCATTGCATTGGACAATTTTTACCATTTGTGGTTGTGCATCATGCTTTCCAACTTTTTCAGCTAATTCCTTTAATCTTCACATCCTGGTACTCCGAATAGAGTTAACTTACTTTGTATTTTTTTATAGGTGTTGGCCTAGGAAGTTTAGACAATGACCAAGAAAAGGCAGAAAGCAGAAACACTTTGGTTCATGCACAATGAAGTTTTTCTTAAATTTCCCTTTGGAACAGTTGTTTTTTAACTTTGAAAGTATGAATTTATATTACCAGGCTTATAACTATCTAATTGTATGATTTTAGTGAATATTATGCTTGGATAAAATATAACAAAAGCTATGAGCATATTCTCTGGAGTTTTTCAAGAAAAAGAATTGTGCGGTATCCAAATTGATAAATTTGAATTGAATTCAAACTCTAAGCCTAAAATATTTTTCCTGACACACTACCATTCAGGTATTTATCTAAAACCTATATTACATTTATTATTTAGAAACTAGTGATTTTTCGGCTTATCAGCTTATTTTTAGCATTAATATTTATTTGATATAAATAATTCATTTAAAAATAAACAACTCAATTATTTGATTTTTTTCTTTTTTTAAGGCCACGAGCCATCCATTAATTACTATTTCATTACATTATGTTTTATTATTATAGCATCTGTGTTTATTTATTATTATTACATTTGATTATATATTACAAATGACAGTGATGAGGACAGCTTCCATGACAGGTACTGGTCTCAGAAATGGCAGAAAAGAATGCTGAAGGTGGTAAAAGTCAAGACACTGTTAGTTGTATGAATCTCTTATGGAACAGCATACAGCCACATTTAAAAAAAAAGAAAAACCCACCCCTAACCACTAACTAGATATTCTATAGCTAAAAATATTTTATCCGATCATTTCAATGTTTTGAATAAATATATATGATATCTCTTTAGAAACAGCCTAAAAATCTTAATAGAAAAATTGCAGAGGATAATTTACATTTGCTAACAGAAGAAAAATTAATAATTAGAAAGGTAATTGATATAGCGAGGCTAATTACCAGTATGGTACAATCTATGGTTAATCTAAAGCAAAAGAGAAAAACTTATCTTCCTGAGTCATCAAGAGCCAGTTAAAGTCAATGAGCTTAAAAAAGGAAGACAAATATTGAAAACAGCCATTAGATAAAAAGTTCTTCATAAATTCACTAATTTCGTGGTCCGCTTGAGCAGTGACACTTGAGGTCAAGAAAGCTCAAGTGGTAGAGCAGCGGCGTATCAGGCCGAAGATCGTGGGTTCAAATCCTGCTCGTGCCATTGACTTTTTTATCTCAACTAAAAAACCTTAATTAATTGTAAGTTCTTCATAAAATAAAGTGGAAGATGGAACTAAAAAAATTTACTGGTCCAATATACTTCCTTCTAATCTTACTATAGTTGGTGACAAAGTTCTTGAAATAATTAATTAATCTTTCTTATTGATACTCTATGGTGAGTTTTTGTTCACCTGATAAAGGTCCAGGACTGAAGCTTGTGAATTTAAAATAAACCATGAGGAGGAAAATGTTTTGATCAATTAGCCTTACCATCTCAATGAATATAAATCTAACAAAGTACAGTCCACCAAAACACAAGAAATAAAAAACAGAACATGTTATCATTGGTGAAGAATTCAGCAGATGGAAGAACATTCCTGAATGACAACTATAGCTGTTAATCAAAAATCAACAATAGCTATTTAACTTATAGAACAATTTTATTTTAATGTACATGGTTTTAAATTAAAAACATTTTTGATTAGAGTGGGAGGAGTCAACGATTCCAGGGGTGACAGTGGAAATTAAACTTATGACCTGACACCTCAAAACTTTTATTTGACATAGATAATTTCATTTTTAAATAAATTTATTTCAAAAACTACAATTGCACTTTCCATTTTGTTTCAGATCACATTGTTGGATTAAATGATTTGAATTACATTAATTACTTCAATGAAAATGATGACGTATATTTGTACTGTTCCGAAATCACAAAGAAACTAATTAAAAAAAACATTGTATTAAATGAAAAACGAATAATTATCCATGAAGAAGGAGCTGTTGTGATTTGCCCTAATGATGAATGGATCAAAGTCACTGCCCTGAGAGCTGGCCATTGTCCAGGGTCTTTAATGCAAGTTGATTTAAATAAGGATGTAGATTGATTTATTAATAATCATTCAATTTAATAGGTATCTCTTTGAATCGAATATTTCTAATGTTTTATTCACTGGGGATTTTCGTTTGTCTATGAGGGATGTAAAGTTATGCAAATCCCTGAAATCGATAAAGCTTGATAAAATATACTTGGATACAACTTTCGCTAGCCCTTCTTATCCCTCATTTCCAACTAGAGAAGAGTCTTTTAAATGTATTTTGAAGTTGATAACAAATAAAGAACAAGAAGGAAACAGCGTACTATTTATTATTAAACTAAGTGGTAAGTGCTTCTATTAATCTTTAAAAAAATTAATTTATTTAAAAAATAACTATAGCAATTTTTTTAAGTTATATTAGGACTGCATAATTAAATGTGTGTATGCAATGGCAAAGATGTGGGAAAAGGAAGTATGCAATATAGTATTAAGATGATTTGTGATGAGTCATGGCTGTCTGTGACAGGTTGTCTAAGTGCCACCATGTCATTGTTGGAAAGATTTGAAACTAAAGTGCCTAGATAAAAAAGTAGTATAAGTCTGAGTTCTAGAACTAGTAGATCTTGAGATAAATGGAAACAAGATGAAGACTGGGACCATTGTTATTAAGTCCTCTAATATTAAAAACACAATAAAAATATGAGAAATACAAAATAGCAAATTTGTTGGGTTGGATCAGATGAGAAAAATTGGGTGAGCAGTCCTGAGGATCTCGCAGAAGAAAGATAATTTTTGCCCAGAATAGGCCATAAAAAGTTGTTACAGAATTATGTTTGGGCCTAACTCTAGGTGTGGGGTTGTTTGATGGTTCCACATATCTGAAGAGCTGTGAATGCCTCCCAATATGCCATGAACATAGCAGTGCATTTCTTAGTCCCATGTCATGATTTTTGGATGAAGGGGTCTTCTATAGATTTTTTTTGCCTTTAGATTGAACATATTTATTAGCATGAATGTATAGTAGGTAAAGGCCAATTGCAGAAAATCAACCATCATTCGGACAAGTTGGGTAGGGTGATGGAGAAATTTAAAGTACTCCATCATCCTCCTAGAATAAACATTATGTTTATAGGAAAGCAATAGTTATATATAGTGTGAGTGCAAATATTTCATAGGATGTAATTTTCTCGCCTAGTTTTTCAATAGTCCCCAAGTCTTTGGTGGATACAGAAGACAGAGTTCTAATCCTGAACTGGCATCAATCAGGATTGCTGATTGATTCCAAATGTTATAATATTAACATAATGTATGTATGTATATATATATATAGAATTGATATGAATTATCAATAATATGATATTAATATATTTTTTGCTCTTTTTTTCACATTATATTCATTATTCTAAAGCAAATGTTGGTCAAGAGTTTCTTATGGTTAAAATTTATGAAGCGCTAGGAAGGAAAATTTATATAGAGGAAAAAGTTGCGATGAATTACACATCAAGCATTAAACAGTTGGTAAATGTTGTTACACCAAATCCACAAGAAACAAATATCCATTTTTATTTTTCTGAGGTAAGGTAACTTGTATGTTTGTGGTAATGTATTAATGATTTTATTTTATTTATTTTTTTAACAGAACCTCATTCAAGAGAAAGCAAGAAAAGTAGTTAATGCAGTCATAATAAAACCTACAGCACAGTGGTTTCACAGAGATAATTTAATAAATGTATCCTTCACAATATAAATAGTATATATTCATATGTTCAAACATTTAAAAATTTCAGGGGCCACTTCAAAAAGATTATTCGATCTGGCGAGTCGCTTATTCATCTCATTCAAGCCTTGAAGAACTGTCTGAATTTGTGAAATATCTCAAACCAGCAGAAATTGTTCCGATTGCTTTCGCCAATAAAGTACGCATAGGAAAAATTGGGTACACATTTGAAAAAATGACTGTTGACGAGGTACGATTACAATTGGATTTTTTATTGTAATTTATTGTTTATTAATTGTAATTTAATAAACCATTTTTATTTCTCTTAGATGCTGACAGAAATACAATGTAATAATAGCCTGCATAAATGTATTAGAAAAAGAGAACATGAGAATCCCTTACCAAATTTCAAAATTGCCAAAAAATTAAAAGTAGGATGGGAAGAAGAACTAAAAATAATGAATGAATTAGGAGAGCTAATAGTGCTTTAAATTTTTTATTTCTAAATTTATAAAGTATAAATGTAGTTCAATAATAAATTATTTTAATTTCATTGTTCTGTGCTGTTACCAATGACAGAACTTCAGAGTACTGATCAGAAAGATTATAAATATTGAACTAGATAAATATTTTTTGTTATGATGTCTTTTTAGTAAATACTCTAATAATAAAAAAATTAAATTAAATATTATGATTAAATGAAATAGGAGGACAGGAATTTATAATAAAGGAATAAAAAATTTAATACATTTGATAATGTATGTGATATATTAATATGAATTATGCAGTATACCAAATATGAATATGAAGTATGATTCATAAATATAAAATAACTTTCTTGTTAAGATCTACACAGATCTGTTAAGCCAAACAAATAAATTAGTTAGTTATAGGAGCATAGAAAACCCATCACTGAAGAAAACAATGAGTACAGGTGAACTGAATTTGATTGAAAATAGCCAAGCTAAATGTAAAAATACTCATAAAACTGTTGTGGTTATAATATGTATTACCTCACAATAGGCTGCTTTTTAAAAGATTTAACACATTTTTTAATTGTAGTTTTTATTCTACAATAAAAACTTTATTAATTATAAATATATTGTATATATTTACTCCATTCCCTATGAAACATCATATTGTGTCATAATTTAATTTTATACTTCATTTGTCATATTTGATTGACTTATATAAGCTCAATTTTGTACATACGTACAAGAGTTTTGGTAACTTCACCCACTTAGGTGTTTTGGCAGTCTGGGATCAGATCTCAATCTTATCTGCCCAGTCATCAAAATTGGGCTCCAGGTCCATGAACCGCTACATCGTTTCAGCCCCTAATGCAATCAGCTACTCTCACTTAAATCCATTTTTTCCTTTGCCCTTTACACAAACTATATTTATAACTATTGAATTGTATTGTACTAACAATACTAATTGTTGTATTGTAATTGTTGAAAAATCTAATTCAAGTAAGAAGTAGTCAATATTCCTCCATCAGCCCTTTAACAATACACCTTCATTCTAATAAAATATTTGCTCTCAATATACACAAAACAGGATATGTATACCAAGTTCTATATACAATAAAACTGTTTTCTCCTAAAATTGAAACTGGGGATTCACGCACAATTCTCATGCTGGGTAGAAGTACCACTAGCTCTCTATATGGAGCCAAGAAATGATACCGTTCAAATAAATGGCACACATTGTGCAACCTCCTACCTGCCATACAAATATGTGAGCTTTGACCCAAATTAATTGTCTGTATATCAACCTCGCATAGCTGGTTAGGGATGGTTGGATAGCCACTTTTTTTTTTGTGGGGGGGAGGATGTTTCTCAGCCTTAGTCACCTCATCACCTTTTATCACCAGTCACCTTTTTGCTACCTTATTTACCTATTTGGGCCCCAGACTGCAACCACCATTTTGCCAAGATGCTCCAGTTCATGGTATCCCTGCAGCAAAGGCACAAAAAGAGGGTCTACAGAGGACATGACGTGGACCGTAATTGTCATGTTAATTCTCACATATATTTATTAATTATGTGTTAATATAATAAAACTATCCAAATATATTGTGTTTTAGAATAATCTGATAAAATTTGTTTTTATTTTATTAATTGGCAATTTTTTTATATTTATTTTGAATAGCGATGGAAATTACCCTTTTTGGATTTTATTTAAACTGTTACTTACATTCTTTTCAACATCAACATAGTGTATAATAAAACTTGTTTTTATCTTAATTATATTTGAATCTAGAAGGTGGAATAAATGTTTATAACTCAAATTAGCATATAAATTGATATTTTTATTTGTGTCATTATTGTTTATTCAATTTTGGTCGTTGGTAAAAATTTTGAAATTAAGTCTTTAATGCATTCACAGCCTTCTTGAAATTTCCCTTTGGTCTCGCTAACTCTTACAGGCTGATAATGCCCGATTCCCGCTCTGAAGATGGCATTCGACATTACGGAATAAAAGCAAATATAGTAGAGTGTTCGGACCAATTTAGCTGCACTTTTTGGTAAAATAAAACAGGACACTATGCCCAAGAGCGGACGTGTCTGAAATAATATATAAAATTACAATAAAATGTTCAATCATGATCAATACACAATACCATAGAATGCAAACTCACTTGCACATAAAATTTCATAATATCCCTCATACATTCTTTATATCTTTCATCGTAAATTTGCGCTATATTTTTTGGGTCATGTCTCAATTTCTCTTTGATAACTTTGTAATCGATACAAGCCATAGTGATTAATGCAACAGTGGGCATTAATAAGAAAATATCAAGCAATAAAGATATTGCCATGAATGAAGTCGGCCTATTCCTGGGAATTCTTCTTAACCAAAACAGAGACCACTTTGAAGAAAATGGGCCCTAAAAATAGTATTTAAAATTAAATATTATCTTGTATTAATTAAAATTTTATAATGTTGTATTAAAAAATTCTCACTGTTATTAAAACACCAATTGCTGCATAATGTAATCCCCTACTGATATTGTATTTTCCCGATGATTCTTTTTCCATACATAATTGGGCTATTGTATCTCCAAGGAACATGTATATTCCTATAAATTAGAGTCAATAATTATAGTGATGTAAAGTAGTTCATATTATATTCATTGCTAAATTAATTGTGAAATTTCTTCTTTAGAACTTTAGCTGTTGGTTTTTGATACTTTTTGATCCACATATACTTAAAGTTTAAGCATTTTACCAACTTCAGAGTTGGGTATCTGTGTTATTTTGTCATAAATATTATACAATGATGTACATTACATACAGCTTCAGTAATTGATTTAAGAAGTCAAGACATGTGCAAACACAATTATCTAATTATCTTCATTGGTTGGTCAAAAACGCTATAGAAAGATCACAGATACCATGATACAATTGAAGATTGTGAAACACCTAAACGCATCTGACAACTCAAACCATTGCATATGCAGATCCAAAAATTATCGAAAATAACCAAGCTATTGCTATGTAATGAACTGGCAAAATAACTTGTGTACCATGTTAAAAAAAAAGGTACAATTAAAATTTTAAACTAATAATCTTATATACTTATCATATTTATAATAAGTTCCTTTAATCACCAAAATTATCTAAATGTACAAAAAGAATGGAAATATTGAAAAAATGAATAAATTTAATTAATTTATAAGATTTCTTCCAGTGCTCTTTGGTTGTGATGATTATGTAATTTCATTATTACCAATCATTTTGTTCTGCCTATCTTGTCTGAGAGATCAATCCAGCAAGCATATGCAAACCAAAATGACCAGTAAAGAACAAATTATTTTTTTAATCATTGAATTCCCTTACACAAAAGCATGAATGGTTTTTGTTAGAATTGTGGTTATTGATGAAGCAAATATTCCATAATGTTTTGCAAGAAATTTAAATAGACATTTTATATGACAAAACAAAGGTCAATAAAAAAATAGACATACTGTGCTAATATTAAAATACTTGATAATTACCTGCTGGAAAGGCAAAAAACAGCCATGGATAAGAGTATCGTTTCAGTTTGCGCCTAATTTTAATGACCGTGCATCGTTTCATTCCAAATTTGACTAGCCAATACCAAATGCTAAAATAGACGCCAATCTTTCTTTTAGCGTATCGTCCTTGGCAGGCAATATCCGAAAGCTTCGTGCTACTTTTTTCTGTACTTAATTCCATTTGCATCTGTAAATGTGGTGTCTTCTTGGATACGACCCTTCCATTAGGGTTGAACCTCCCGATGGCAATTTGTTTTGCATTTTTGTATAAAATGTGAGTCCGTTGCATTAACATCATTGAAAGTTTCTTATATTCATTGGTTTGTGTGTTACTTTAAATTTTGAGTAGTGTGTTACTTAAAACCTTGCCTGCCTGAATTGTTACTATGGTTATTTAGTCCATATAATAAGGACATATGCTTTTTTGTTTAATAAATTGTTGCCAACTTCAAATGTTTCATAATTGATTTTTTCAATCCAGCTTACCATTTAGAAAGAATAGATTTAATAAACTACCATGATTATGCCTATTATTAGAATGTGTAATGTGAACGAATATAAAAGAATTTTAGCTCTTTCCAGACAATTGACATATTCTGCTTGAAGTCTTGGATAAGGCACATTTGCGAGAATTTCAAAATCTTTCCTCAAAAAAATTGCTTACGATCAGTAATAGTTATAATAGGCAAGGTTTCTGAGAAATTTAAATTGTACAGATTGAAAGTTGTGAACAGATTCAGTACAGTACGGATTCCAAACAGAACAGTATTCAAAACATCTTACTAGCAATATGTAAAGAATAGTCAAGGTGAGTTGAGATCAGTAATACAAACCTAAAACTTTTAAGCATGATTAAATATGCTGAATAGGGCAGTAAAATTTAATTTGTGGTCCAAAACCACACCAACGTCTTTGGTAGCAGTTTTAAGAGAGAGAATATATTACTAATAGAGTAAGTGAAGATTTAGTCCAATAAAAACTCATAGAATAGCGTAGGTGGTTCCCTAAAGTCAGTAGTATAAAGCATATGCCAGATTGAAGAAGAATGCAATCTATATATGTGAAAGGCATGATGAATTTTAAATCTCTTTTAATTTCATGCCTTTCACACATATACTCATGCCACTCTAAATAATAAGAGTGGAGATGAGAACTAAGAGGGGAGAAAATGGTACCTGCCTTGTACAATTTGTTTATTGCTGGTTATAAAAATCGCCCAGTAATCTCGACAGAAATCTGTCTAAACGACATCTACCGCGGGGCAGTGGCAGCCCCAGACCTGGAAAGAACGGAACCTGACAGATCTCTCGCAACTGTTTTTAACCTTAAAATTGTACATAGGGCTTTATCGTGGAGAGGTAGCTAAAAAATATTTGACGTTAGGCATGTTAGTTGCCTTTTTTTTTTTTTAAGTTTTTTCATGTTGCAAGTCTCAAATATTTTTTGGAGTTTATGAAAACCATCCATATCCAGAATTACATTCCCTATTATCTTCTGCTATAAGCAAAAAAAAGCTTTAATTTTAATAATTGCTTTTTTTAAATTGCTATGGCACTAAACACTGCAAGTTTTAACTTAACCAGGATTGGCATACGAACAGGTTCGTTGCAATCAATAATAAAACATAAATACCCTTTCACTCTTGGATTCAGTAAATATTATATTCATTTAACAAATTCAAAACCAATGGCCATGGATTAACCCTCCTTTGAGCCCTGGGCATAATGAAAGAAAAAAAAACAGTCTTAATAACATATTATACCAATTAATTTTTTTTTAATCTAAGATCTTGGTTGAGATAAAAAAAAAGTTAGCGTCCCAAGTGGGATTCAAACCCACATCCTTTGGCTAAATTGAAAAATGGCAAAAAGAGGAAAAATTCAAAAGGTTGTAGGTTCAGATGAGGAGTTGATGCCCGAGTGGATCGAAGTCACAATAGCTGCGGTCGGGCAGCTGGTCGAGGTGACTGGCTCATTCATTCCCAACAACTACCAGCTGGTGGAGGGCCGGCTCAATCAGGGAACCTTTTAGCCAAAGGTCGTGGGTTCAAATCCCACATGTGACACTAACTTTTCATATCGACCAAGACCTTAGATAAAGAATAATTAATTGAAATCAAAGATTATTTTGGAGTCAGTTAACATTAAAAAATCATTAATTAAACAAATAATTTATTGCATATACAATTAAAATTGGATTTACGAATAATTTTCCCAAGAAAGGCAAAATTCTTAATGAACAGCTGCAACACGAGCTACTTTCCTTTCAAGATACCTCTTGAGAGCAGCTTCAAAAACCGGGCCTACAGTCCTTTTTTCCCAAATATTTACATGTGGTTTTTCAATTCGGATCGTTGTAGGTTGGTCCACTTCTACTGGTGGTTGCTTTTCGTGTTGGACGAGATCAACTTTCTCATGTTCATTTAATTTTATCCTCTTTGGCTCTTCACATTCAGGTTCACTATTTTTATCGTAATCACTTACGGATTCACTGCTACTCGAAGATGAAGATGTCGCATCATCTGTATCTGCATCTTTGTCCCTATCGGGTGAACTTCCTGAATCTTTTCTCTTTCGGTATTGCCTTTTGTCTTTCGCGTGATCCTTTTCATTTTTTGAATCGTGGCTGTGTGCCTTTTCTGTGAAAGAGTGTCCTTCCTCTTTCGGGCTAACTGTCGTTTGGTACAAATGCCTGTAGAAGCCGCTGATATCCTGCTGCTTGGTCACATCACCTATCTCCTCGAGCATGTCCTGCCTTTGCTGTTCGGCGTCTAATTTGGCGAATTCTTCCAGTTTCTTTTTGTAAGCTGTAGTGACGAAGGTCTCCTTGTCTTTGAACTCCTCGCCTTCTGCGTCCCGTTCTTTCTGCACTTGCCGTTCTATTCGGCGTTCGTTTTCTATTTTCCTCTTCTCGGCAGTCGCGAGCAACTTCTGGATGTACCTGGGTTTGCGTTCCTTCTCCTTGACTACCTTGGACTGTTTCTGCTGTTCGAGTTGTTCGTACACTTCATCGTACTGGTAAACGGTCGCGTCCTGTTCGAGTGCCCTCTGCATATCCAGTTTCGTCTGTCTCTTCGCCACCGCTTGGGTCGGATCGCGCTTCGACTTCTTCTGCCAGTCGTTTCCGCCGCCGTCCGATTGGTCGGAACTGCTATCGTCCCCGAACGCCGAATGCTTTTGAACAAGATTCTGCACGTTTTTCTTCGGAATTTGCAAACCGTATTGCTTACCCGACGACATCTTAGCTTTGAAAATTCAATATTCCCTATTGAAAATTAAAATTGAAACGATTATTTATTAATTAATATTAAATAATTAATATTAATTAGTTATTAACGTTACCCTACAACCATGTTGAAAACATGACAGAGTACAGAACTATAGACAATACGCTTTCAGTTTTAACCTACCGGCTTCCACGAATGGATACTTCATGAACGTGGGTCGATACCAACAGAAATCGATAGCTGTGCACTGAAATGGGGAGACTCGAACTCCCAATATCAACCAGGCACTTACACAAAAAAATTCAAATTTAACGTTAAACGTAATAATCTTATCTAAGGAATAATAATATATAATAATAATAAGCTAATAATGATTTCCCGTTAGGATGATGGCCGCTACAGCAGGAACGAGGTTTGGAGGTATGGTGAACAAATAATTGTAATAGTTATTTGGAGATGGTGAGATGCACGCGACGACATCTACAAGAGAACAAATACTTTGAGTGCTGAAGATGATATCAATAAAGATCGAAACGTTAGCACGATAAAGATATTTTTCTAAACCCACATCACACCAGACTGCATCTCACGATTTATTAACTAACTGTCACTAAACACCACACAATTGTAATAGTGTCAACATATCTAGGAGTGGATCTTTTTTTGTCTTCTTCTTCTTTTTCAACAACCATTACTAGACCATAAAAGAACGACATACAAAAGTGGATTATTAATAACTGCTTAATTATAATATGTAAACAATTGGAAGTAAGCAACAGCAGACCGCTATATCCTCTCTGAATTTCTGAAAGTATAAGATCAGATTTTTTATGTGAAACAACGCAAATAGTTAAGGAGCACTGGCCTTAAGGGATCAATTGAAAGGAACTTTTTCAAGATTATTAACCGAGTAGATAAAAAACAAAAAAGGGTGTCATAGTTTAGGTTTAGTTAAGAGGATTTGATAGTAGGTATGTTCAAAGGGTAAAATATATTGCAATAACATTAACGATATGTTGTGAGTTCAACAAGGTTGTAACCTTTTATTTCTATTAGGAATTCATGGAACTGTACGCTGTTGCACAACCCATATGAAATGACCTGTTGATGGATCACCTGTTGGTAGGATTAATAATATATTAAATATATTAATAATATTAATATATTCAGCCATCATAAAATTAATGTAGTACTACAATGTTGTTAATTCATTCCTCTACATAATTATTACCACTAGGTTTTAGATTTCATCTGCCTGAAAAAAGGCTTCATTTGCTTGGAAAAAGGTTTTATTTGCTTGAAAAAAAGTTTCAATTGTAAAAAAAAGGTTTCATTTGCGTGAAAAAAGTTTCTTTTGACTAGAAAATGCTGTTAGCAAATTAGTAACTGTTGATCTGCCAGTACAGAAGCCATGTTAATGGGAATGATTTTTTAACTTTTTGCAAACCAATGTAGGCTCTATTTGTGAAATATAATAAAGTATGAAAAAACCTAAGAATTTTTTTAAAAACTGGAATTTATGAATACTGTGTTTCATGTAATCGAATCTGAACGATACAAAGATATAAAAGTTTTATTGTGTTAAGTAAACAAAATTCAAGTTTTGTCATTACATTCAAGAATACTTAAATTTAATTCAATTTTATCGTGCTATTAATACATGAAAAAAAACTCCTCAAAGTCATAAAAGGCATTAACAGAGAGGAATTTTGTTACTTTAAATTTTTTCAGTTAAAAATTTGATATCATCTGGTAGATTATTAAAAAAAATTATAGCCCAATATTTACAAGAGTTTTCACATCTTTTAAGGTTCAGCCGTTCAGGAACTATTTTATTACAGTTTCTCATATGTACAGAATTAAATTTTTTTATAATTATTCAGATATCGTGAGATGCGGTCGGGAGTGATGTAGGTTTCAGAAAATTTTTTTTATAATGTCTCACTTAGTAGCGATACATTACACGTTGTAAAATATAAAAGCTGGGCAAAGTCATAATGTTTAATTTAGTAAATGTTTCCCTGCAACATTCCCTATACTTTAAATTCCCTAAAATTCTTATAGCTTTATGTTGTTTTTTGAAGATTAGTTTGGCATGACTAGAGTGACCCCAGATCAATAAGGCATAGACAATATATGGTTGGAAACGAGAAATAAACAATAATTAAAACTCTTTGAGATACATTACATTTGAGACTTTTCAGTAAAAATAATTGTTTGCTAAGTTTAGATGCTACAAATTGACAAAGTGCATCCCAAGAGAGATTTGAATTTATAACTAGACCCAAGTGTTTAATCGGTTGATTGTCTAGACTATTTCTCGAATTAGAAGTTTTTAGAATCATAACGATAGGAATTTGGTAGTAAGGTACGTTGTGTAACTGGCTTAACTTTCGCCAGGAGGCGGCTGAATATGTTCGCTTTATTTTATCAGATGGCAGCTGCTCGCGGTCGGAGTTCAGTTGTAGACTTGCGACGGGGGCTCGCTAGATAGAGCAGGCTGCTCAGAAGCATGTTTAGGGTGACGTAATGTATTTTCTTATGACTGATTGTTATCCTGGACATAACTGAATTAGAAATGTAGTCGGCGATCGGCCCGGTTTGTATTTGCACGCGGGACTCGAGGCTCGGTTAAAGTTCGCGATGTGCACCGGAGCGTTGAGCAGTGCCGCCTCAAAAGCTCCGATTTGAGGTTACAGGTGTTTTGTTTACTGATAAGGTGTTTTTAACGTATCTCTCTTTAGTATTTCTACATAATATTTGTGTGAAAAGGTTTTGTTGTTATGGTGTGAGTAAGGATGGCGTCGTGCAACGATGTGGAAGCGGGTTCGGAAGCGAACGTACCGCAATGGAAAAAAGAATTAATAGAGAGGCGGCGAGCGTCGGGGAGGGCAATAACATCAACGTCCGGGGCGGGGGGGATTCAAAGCGGAGTCGGTTTCTACTGTTCAGAACGGGTGGGACAGGAGCCGAGTTCGGACCGGGCGACGGATTTCGCTTCACAGCCGTCACAGGACTTTCACCCTGACTTCTGCGTCAGGACAATGAGGTTGTTAGATTCCAAACTGCCCGGTGAGTTGATAGTCAGTGGTAGTAGCATTAAGTGTAACAACAGTGTCAGTGATATAAAGTCGAAAATGGTCGAGGAGAAGCCGGTGAAGAAGACGTCTTTCAGAAACAAGGATGAGAGGAATTACAAAGTGTTCGGTTTGATCAGAAGGAACGGGAAGGAAGAGGAGTACCAGTCGGATTCCAGCGAGGAGCTCCAGTACGGACCGGGTATCGTGAATAAATTAAAGAGTAAATATCTTTCCATGACTTTGAGAGACAACCAGAAGTATTCCGCCCGTCCTTCTCTGTCCAGTATGAGGCGTGCGACCAGTTTGGAAAATATGCTTGAAGACGAATCGACCAAATCAATCCACAAGCCGCATTTCGTCAAAAAACCTTATCATTCCTCTGCGTACAAGAGCACCAAGATATCTCAGCACCATGCCAAATACCTCGGGTTGACGAGGGGGAGCGAATCGATGAAACGAGCCAGGTCGATGGACACTTTGATAAAGAATGACGCCATGGCAAATCCGTCCGAATCGAAACAGAACAGATTTATCAACGGGCTCCGGCCCTCTATAATAAACGAAGATTTGATAATCGTCGATAACTGTTCTCATACAGAGGAGTCGAAACACGTTAACACGGGAGACCGAGAACTTCCCCCACCGGACGTCGTCAAACAGACTCTCAAGATATTCGAACCGGTCCCTGTTAAAAACGCCGATAACGTGAAAAAGATAAATAAAACGTCGACCTCTCCCAACAACAGCCCGGTAAAAAACAAACCGGCCAAGCCCGCTTTGTCACCCAAGCCGAATTTGATCCCGGATAAAAGATCGGCCAGGCCGAAAATGCTTTCTCCCAGGCGGATTTTTCCGGTCGTTACGAAAGAGGGTCAGAAGTCGCCGCCGGCCGTCGTCCCGGTCGCGAACGAGAAGCCGTTATCTCCGAAAAAACGCCCTACCGTCGAAAAATCCCCCTTGGCGGCTCCCCTCAAATTCGCACCCCTTCAAGACAAACCGCCGGTTGTTCCGGTCAAAACGCCCGCCGTTTTGGAAAAATTCGACAGGACCAGCCCGGCGAAGGAGAGGCCGTTTTTCATAACAAACAAATCCGACTCATCCGAAGACACGCCGAAATACGTGTCTCAGAAAGCCATGGAGAACATAAGCAAAGAAGGGACGTCTGTCACATTCTCATTTTGTGAGAGCCTCAGTCCCAACAAAAGCCATCTTCCTAGAAGGAATCTGACACAAGCCACCAACACTGCTTTGATAACATCACAGACGGCGACGAACTACACCGAGCCGCCGAGCAGTCCTCCCAAGCAGGTCGCAGTCATCAGGCCGGTAATCACAAACAAACCGTCTTTGAATTTGACCGAACAGGAAATCGAAAAGAACCTTATTAACAAAGTCAAATCCGTCGAGACTTCTGTCATTTCGACGAAAAACGACGATACCGAGACGAAAACCATCACCAGTGAAAAGTCCCAGTTGTGGGATAAAAAATCGTGGCAGAACCAAAATACGATGGTGTTTAACTTTAGTGGGAGGCAGAGCGTTCCTGATTATATCGAAAACGACGGTCTCAACCTCACTCAAAACCGCATCACCGCTAAGGTAATAAGTCACTTTTTTTTAAACTATTTCCTACAAGGGTCGTTTACATTTTCATCCTAGCTCTAATTGCAGTAAGCATTTATAAGTAAAAGTACAGGAAAGTGGGAAGTGGTACTTATTAGTCTTATCCTGTCTCCCACCGCGATGCAGTCATACGCTCCGCGCACAGATTGCTTAATAGAAATCAAAAAAACAAAACAAAAGGATGCTTTCCAGCAGGGGGAAATAGAGGAAGTCGTTTCCTCCCCGTGGCAAGTAAATCAGGTCAAAAAACACTGTTTATTCTGGGTAGCGGATTCAGTTGCATAGTTCAACTCACAATGTTTTTTGCATTGCTAGCATTATTAAATGAAAGAAATCTAGAAGTACGCTTTACAATATAGATTGTAGACAGTGGAAAAGACAAAACTATCTTGTTAACTATTTAATTGATATACTCACTCTATGATGATACCTAATTTTATTATATCTAAGGAAATTACTTTCTTGATTACTCTTTCCCACCAGCTTTTATGTAACAATTTTTTCTTTTGAGTCTAGGCACATCAGTACTTGTGAATTGTCAGATTCCAAAAGGACATCCATTTACTAGATTGGCAATTTTTTTTTACCCAGATCTGTTTTTGGACAAGTTACAGATTGCCCAAAATTCCCAAACCACTATAAACGAATCTTGGGATGAGCAGGAGACAAAAAAAATTGAAATATGTATGCACAGTCAAATTAAATTTAAAAAAGAGATGCATTGCCAATTTCGAAAGTTTAAATTCTTTCATGACGGCTTCATATGAGAGTTCTACTGTAATTGGGTGTTTTTAAATTTTTAGCTGTTTTCAAACAATTCCAGTAACTGGCAGTGGACCACTGGCAGGCAGTTGAGAATTTAAACTGAAATAACACGCTTATGGGTGGTGACAGCTCCCTAGTTTCGTAAAAAGCTAAAGGTTGTTAGCTTCAAAGATTGGGAAGAGAAGTACTCTAAATTAGAAAAAGATGGATCTTGTAGAGTTGAATTAATAAATGTAAGAAAATGGAAAAAAGAGAAAAAGAAAAAGACAGTCTGAAGGTGAGGGAAACAGCTCATGATGCTAAAAATGCATTGCTGATGATAATAAGTGGCTAAGCTACCTGCCTACAAGAGCACCCAGGCGCATTTTTAGGTAAAATTTTATTTTTTACTTCGACACAGATTTGTTCCAATTTTCAAGTAATAGGTTGTTAGTTTAATTTCAATTCAAACAGCTTCTCATGTATTCCAATGAATGCATTTTCGAAGCATCACAGGCCTCTCCTTAGAAATATTAGGGCTTCAGAAATTTCAGTCACAACTATGATAAATATAGAAGAAAAAGGATTCAAATAATAGACTTGGGGGGGGGGAGCTCCCTAGTTTTGCAAAGTCTGCTGTTAGTTCCAAAGAATGGTAAGATCTGTTTAAATAAATACCGATGTACTTGAAGAGTTGAAGAAGGCCCAGTGGCTGGGAAAAAAGAAAAAAAACAGAAAATTGAAAAGTTAGAATTGAAAAAGAATAAAAGAGATGATAAGGAGGAAAATAAATATAGTCTAGATAGAAACGCCAAAAAATGCTCATAAAGATAAAAACAACATTGCCGATGATAACAAGTGCACGTAGGTGCAAATTTTAGGTTATAGGTCTATTTTTCTATTCATTTTTCATTTTTCTATTCTATTCATCTAAAAAGGATTCCCAAAGGATGCTTATCTAAGTGTGGCCTATTGCTGGACGCCTAATAATTACTTATTGTTTTGATGTTCATTGGATTATGTTGTATTTGAATTTCTTTTTAAACATTGTCCATCAGGATTTTTTTTTTGAATTGTTAGATTTTCGTTTCTTTCGTTATGACCAGTCGATAGTTTAGGTAGGGCTAACCTGCCTTTCCCAGGATTTAGGCCGAAGGGGAGGAATCTACCCTACGTCTAGGGAAAATGACAGCTACTGGGTGGGCACTCTGTTAGCAAGAGCAGTATTTAAAATCGGAAGGAAGGGAGAGTTGACAAAAAAGAAAATGAAAGAGAAGGAGAAAAAGAGAGTCGAAGATGGAAAGGCAAAATAAATTGCTGAGTGCCTAACAAACCTGCCTACAACAGCACCTAAGTGCAAATTTTAAGTGATTTCTTTCTGTACTATTTTTTATTTCAATCCAATTTGATTCGAATTTCTTGCCCATAGTTTTTAGGGCCATTGATATTTTATGTTATTATATATTTTTTTAAATAAAGTACGAAGGTCGATGGCAGTAACGGTTTAGGCGTTGGCACGGTGTTCATCACTGTAAGCTAAAGGTTCCGGGTTCGAATCCAGCCCGGCATTCAAACAACATACGTACAAATGGGCTTAATAAATTAAATACATAAAAAATTTATCTTGTTTTTTTTCCATTTTCTTCTTTAATTTTATTTTGTAACTAAAACTTTTTTATACTATACACTATACGATTCAGCAATACGTTTTGTATGATTATTTTTTACAAAACTGATTAGGTATTAAAATTCAAATGCAAAAAAAAAAATACGATATTTTTGAACGTCCAAAAGGTGTTAGCACACTTATGGAAAAAAGTACATATATGATACAATATGTAATATCTGTTAAAGGGCGCAGTATACTATACACCCCGAATAATACATCTAGAAAAGTACGAAAAATAACTTAAATCACTATGTATTAATTATTCTTTTTATGTATGGCCTTAGTCGAATTGAAAAAGTTAGCGTCTCGAGCGGGATTCGAACCCACGACCCGCTCAATACGCCGCTGCTCTAACCACTTGAGCTATCGTGACTTCAACTCGTGACGCTAACTTTTTCATTTCGACCAAGATCTTACATAAAAGAATAATTAATTGAAAGAACTAATTTCGTCAATCAGACCACTAAACATAATGGGGTTAAATCACTATTTTTCGTATTTTTAGACATTTTGTATGCAATCACTTAGCATTTATTAAGTCTAATCTTCTTGGAATGCATTTTACGATGTTTAATCTCTGTTGAGGTGGGATTTCCATCTATGCCTTTTTTATTCACAATTACACGCTAAATAGCACCATCATACTGGTTCCTCCAAGCTCCTCCAAAGTTCTCCACTGTAGGTGCTATATTTTTAAAATTAAATTCCAGAAGCTTCTTCCAGAAGAGAACCCATGAGATTAAAAAATATCAAACTTACTTTTACCCGAGAAGATGGTGTTTAGAATTCACAGATTGTATCCCGCTTCATAAATGTGTCTCAAAGACGATGCAAAGCTTTCTGCGAGTTTATGTGCGCATATCAGATTTTTTGAAACTTGGATAACCAAATTCACGGCTGTCTCGTCGAACAACCTCCTTGGTCTTAGAATCGTTTTACATTACCTGTAGAACCAGTCCTGATTTTTTTCCTCATGTTATCGAGTGGTCGAATGAGAACGTTGTTTCCCTATTTGGTAGCAGCTTAAACGTTCTGAAATAACGAGACAAATTTTTTCTTTTGTAGATGATGTATAATTCTGGTGCTTTTCGAGCCATCTTTCACAGATCCCAAATTGAACTATACAATGAATAATAATTAAAACTACTTGTTTCTTATTTCTTAGCTACACAATACTAAAAACAGTGTATAAGTGTATGAATAATTTTTAGACTTTCAAAACTGTCTTTTTCTAATTTTAATGTACCATCTAATTATTTTTTAACAAATAATTAGAAGAAAGATATTATTGAATCGTTTAGTTTACTCTCGAAACAAGGTTTTAATTACAAAATAAAATTAAAGATGAAATTAAAAAAAAAAACAAAAAAAAACAAGTGTGACGCACTGTAATACTTCATTGTACTCGACAAAATCAAAACGTTATTAACATCTAAAAATTAAACTTGCTAATATTGACACAAAATTGGAATCAAATCTGATTTAAATTTTAAAAAAGTAGAAAACCCTAAATTTGCACACCTTGGTGCTGTTATCATCATCAGAAATGTTTTAGAGCATCATGAACATTTTGTTTTCGCTTTCCCATCTTAGACTCTGACTCTTTTTTCAATTTCTTCTTTCTCAACCCTTCTTTTCCCATTTCTTTGTGTTTTCTGTCTTCAGCCTTGTTTTACTTCAACTCTTCAAGTTCTTCTGATTTTATTAAAATACTGCTACGGTTAGGAGCCAGAATGTACTAACAATTTTGCGACTGTGGAGCTGTCATCTGTGTCGTCTATTTATTATCTTAATCCTTTTTTTTTTCTCTTCCTGATTTATCTCCAATTTCTGATTGCCCTTTCTGGGCCCCTAATATTTCTCGAGAGGAAGCCTGTAAGGCTTCGAAAAAGCATTCAATTGTATAAATGAGTCTGGTTATTTTTGTTGAAATTTGGAAATTGGAACAAATCTGGGTTGTATTAAAAAATAGAACATTACCTAAGATATACACCCAGGAGCTATTGTAGGCACTTATCATTATCAGCAATGTAGTTGGTAGAATCATCAGCAATTTTTTCTCTTATCTTTCCATCTTAGACTCTGTCGTTCCTTTTTCACCTCTTCCTTTTCAATTTGCTTACGTTTTATTTTCTTCATCCCGATTTTAAATACTGTTGTTGGTATATTTCACATGTTTCGTCTGCTGCTCAAAGTAATATGTGTTTATTTCTTGCACTTGGGGAATTTCGGACAGTCTTCAACTGATCCGAAATCAAATCTTGGTAAAAATAATTTGGAAACCTAATAAATGAACTTTCTTTTGAATTTTGAAGTTGTCTGACAATACACACTGACTGTCTGGACATCAGGCAAAAAAAAAAGTGTGGTGGTAAAAAGTAGAAAAGAGAATAATTTTCTTAGATATAGTAACAATGGTTATGATATCTTCTGAAATGCATTAAATTGATTAAATGTGCCTAGTTGTTTTTGTTGAAATGAAAACCCTACACCAATTTTTTCTCTCGCCTTTCCATATTAGACAATGACTGTTTTTTTCTCCTTTTTCAACTCGTCCTTTTCC